GATTCAACCTCATTTATCTTACAATGATTCAGCAACAACAAGCAGCAGGCGCCTGAGCCTTGGGGTATTGCCTCGGAAGAAATTTTTAGTTTTTCGCAACCGGATTTTGGAATCTGCTGCAGAAATGATGGACTTACATGCCCGTCATAAAGTAGTTCTTGAAGTGGAATATGATGAAGAAGTTGGTACTGGTCTTGGACCGACATTGGAATTCTATACCTTGGTCTGTCAGGAGTTCCAGAAATCCGGAATGGGGATGTGGAGAGAGGATAATTGGTTTTTCCCATTAAAGACAAACTTGCCGGCTGACATGAGAATCCTGTCTCCCTATGGACTCTTTCCTTGTCCATGGCCTTCACCGCTAGAATCATCTGGTGGTATACAGTTCTCCGAAGTAACAAAGAAATTTTTCCTTTTGGGCCAAATTGTGGCTAAAGCTCTTCAAGATGGAAGGGTCTTAGATCTGCATATGTCCAGAGCCTTTTATAAACTTCTTCTTGGAAAGGTACACCAATCCTCGATGCAATTGATGAGCTTCCCATGAGCTTGAAACCCAACAACTGTGAATTATTTGCTTACAGATGATCATTATGTTTGACATGGTCTCTTTGTTTGCTTATCATCTCTTTAGGAACTCTCTCTCTACGACATTCAATCATTTGATCCTGGGCTTGGTAGTGTGCTTCAAGAGTTTCAGGCTATCGTTAACCGGAAGAAATTTTTGGAGTCTGTTTGCGGAGACAACTATGTGATGGAATTTGATGCATGCTTTCGAGATACAAAAATTGAAGACCTTTGCCTTGATTTCACTCTTCCTGGGTATCCTGACATTGCTCTTACTTCTGGGAGTGATCACACAGTAGTAAGATATTACTTTATGCGATTGCTATTTGTTTTTGTTTTGTTATTTTCATTGGTGATAAGAATTTATATTTTTTGGGTAGGTGAATATGAGAAACCTGGATGATTATGTTTCACTTGTTGTGGATGCCACTGTGAAGTCAGGAATTTCCAGACAAGTTGAGGCTTTCAAATCTGGTTTTAATCAGGTTCTGTTGTTATTCGCTTTGACTAAATGATGCTTAAAATACTTTCTAATGTTTTTTAGTTTTGAACAATTGAGATGATTAACACACAAACCTTTTATATTGCTATATTCTCTCTCTGTCTGTCTGTCTGTGTGCGCACGCGCAAGACCCAAATGGTCAAGAGAATTGGGGTTCACATATTATATGATGAACTGAACGAATTTGAGCTTAAAGCTAACACTTATATTCAATATTATGAGGGTTACTGTTGCATGATTTAAGAGGTAGGAATCCAAATGATGAGAGGTGGATTCAATTTTGAAGCAGAATTAGCTACTGCTTAAACATAGACTGTCAATTGAATAAGATTCGTTTTGTTTTTAGGCATTATGTTGATCATAAGTTTGTCAACTCCATCCCCCGTTTTATATTCTGTATTTTTTTTTTCACTTAGAATTTACAGAATGCTTCTCCTTCTCGTCCTCCTTTTTCTAAGATCCTGTAATTGTCAATTAATTTGGTAGTTTTTTTTCTTTTTCTTTTTTTTAAATCTTGTGATTGTCAACTATTTGATTTTTAATTTTTTTGGTCAACTCCAGGTCTTTTCCATTGAGCATCTTCGCATTTATAATGAAGAAGAACTTGAGCGATTGCTTTGTGGAGAATTTGATTCTTGGGCTGTATGTATATATTTAATTTCTTAACATGTATAAACTTGTTTTTTGCTGAGAGGAAAAGTATGAAAACAACTAAAATTTAATAATCTCTTTTGAGCAGTTCCTTGAGCTGGCGGATCACATTAAATTTGATCATGGGTATACTGCTAGCAGTCCTCCAATCGTTAATGTGAGCCTTCTTGTTTTTCAATTAACGTTATATGTTTCTTTGGTGGTTTCGGCTGTGTTTTGTTCACCCAAATCTCATGACCTGTTGATTGATTCTTTGGAATGTCAGTTGCTGGAAATCATTCAAGAATTTGACCATGCACAGCGAAGAGCATTCCTTCAGTTTGTGACTGGGGCACCTCGACTTCCTCCTGGCGGACTGGCATCTCTTAATCCCAAGTTGACTATTGTGAGAAAGGTATGCGGATATTAATACCCTATAAGATGAATTCGTGGTTGTTGGAACTCCTCCTCATACGTTTTTTTTTTTTTTTGACAGCATTGTACCAACCGGGCAGACACAGACTTGCCTAGCGTGATGACTTGTGCAAATTACTTGAAGTTACCTCCCTACTCATCAAAAGTACTTTCTCTTACTTTCAAACTTGACTAACTAAAGCATTCAGAAAATAATGCTCATAAACTGGAGTCTAATTTCTTTGGTCACTTCTTTTTTATATAAAAATTCCAGGAAAAGATGAAAGAGAAGCTCTTTTATGCCATAACTGAGGGACAAGGATCATTTCACCTTTCATAAATTCACTCTCTTGACTTGGTCCGCATTTCAATGCTGAACCTGTAATTATTAGAGTAGTCGATAGAGATGTAGATAAGGATCTGAATGTGTTGCTGGCAAAAGGGGTGTTGGTTGGAAGAGGAGCTGATTTGCTGCTGAAGGAGAAGAAGCTCCAGTCTTCACTGACTATAATTGTTGGGGTGTGTACATAGCCCGCAAATACGGGTAGTTCATTGACTTGGGTTGGTTGTACAGGGACCAGGGTACTTTTAAGTGGTTGCTTTTTCAGATATTTTCATGTACAGAACTGTGTACAGAAATCTCTTTGGATGGTAGCCTTTTATTTACATCAATAGTTGCCTTTCGCCTTCAACGGCTTATATTTTCTGCTATTTATTGGATTTTCAGAAAATTGTTTTCTTACAAGGGCATACGCCAGTCGTTTTACTTGTATATTCTGACCACTTCTGCATTTTGTTATCGCCCTGTTTGTTACTTAATATCTTTAATGCCTCAGCGGTTCAAGCCGATCATGTTTGATTACTGGCTGGTGCCCTTTTCCCTAGAGCACCCCCGAAGAAGTCAAAATCATAACTTTACTCCGCGAGTATCTTCAACCAAGTCCCCGCGGAAATAACTTGCAGTGTCCGATCCCAAAGTAAAATTAGTATGTGTAGGAATTTCATGAGTTTAGATCATATGATAATTTCCAAATGTTCCACTTCTAAAGAGGTACGCACGCGAAGATGACTGGACAGTGGACGGTTTTTGTGAGTAGGGGTGGATATGGCAACTAGATGTTGTGACAAATGACAATGTGTAACGCGGGAAGCCAGGGTTCCAGGATCCATCCCCATTCTTCAAGCTGTTCGCATATTAATTAATGTTCTAATTAATACATACAATATTCCTTAACAAAATAATCTTTAAGTATATCAAGTAATTTGTGAGTTAAGGATACTTTTTCTGTTTTATTAATCAAAAGGTATTTGGCTGTGTTTTGTAGTTGTACCAAAATAGTGTTTGTAGAGAATCAGATTAAGAAGCGACAAATTAGTTTTTTCTTATTGTTAATTGTATTGAATATAGGTTAAATTATGAAAAACTTTATGAATTTTGATTTATATGTAAATAATTATTCCCCTTTAAAACTTAATTAAACTTTTAATTTTGTGTAAATAACCCCCGCTGTAACTTATCTTAGTGAACTTTTTAATAAAGCACCCCATATTATTCATCAAATATGCCTTAAATTTTCTTCCACACTCGTACATAACTCTTTCAATCTTTGAATTATAGGCAGAAGATACATATACGCTTTCTTTTTTACGTAAAAATCTAGTACATCGAAATTTGTTTTTTGGCCTGCCAAGTACATCGAAATACTGCATATAAAACAACGGATAAATTAATGACGAAGATGTAATTTGCACAGATCTACGAGCTTTAAAAATTCATTATAAAATTTTAAAGATAGAAAATAGAAGGGAGAATTCCAAAAAAATTTCTTTAAATTTTAAAATTTCAAATCAGTTTTATTTATTACGTTTTAATAACAATTGACAACATTTAAAAGATAAATAACAACACATTTTTATAGTTATTACTAATTTTAAATTTTAAAATTTTAGAGGTATGTTTTTGAGATTTTTTCAAATATTAACTCTAGATAAACTAAAATCCAAGAGGTCACATATGATTTCGCCTTGAAAACTAATAAAAAGGGAAAAATACTTCATTCTTCCGATAATTACAAATAGAAAGCAAGAGTAAAAATATAATGATAACAAATTATATTTAAATTAGCATATTGACTGTACAAATTTGTTATATACTATCTCCGGTTCTAATTATAAGAGCTAGTTGACTAATTTAATGAGATTAAGAAAATAAGTTAAGTAAGTCATTTGTAATAAATAAATGTTGTCTTTTCTAAATTATTTTTGCTAATCAAGCATGTTAGCTAGAACTACCATTACTAGAAGGACTACCTTAGGAAAAAATACATAAATATTAGAGACAAAGTGGATTGGAGTTTTATATTTAGAATTAAAATAAAAATCAAACAAAATCTTATATTAAGAACCGGAGGTAGTATTTCATAAATGGATATTCTTTTTTTTTCGTATAGTTATCATATTTAAATTAATTAAATCAATATTTATTACAATCAATTACATTACAAATTTAATGACGAAATATAATGAGCGACATATAACCTTTTTTTTTTTAAAAAAAAAATGAAGCTCTGCGGCTGTGCGGCACATGCCACGTCGTCGAAGGATGATTCTTGAGTTCTCTCCCTATTTGTCTATGATTCGAACCGAGAAAGGCATTTTGGCACGAAACCAGCTTTTCAGTGCCTTACCCTCCCCTGAATGCCTCCCTATTCTTCCATCCTTCCGAGCGTGAACCGTCCAATGCGCTTAGTTGGTAGTCTGAAGCGAGCTGGTCCTTGGAAAACAGGTTCGCATTTTTCTCCCACTCTTCTCATGTGGTTACTCTATTGAGGTGTTTGCAATTCATCTTAAATAAAATCGCACATATGTTTCTTATTTTAGGTTTTCCATAATGTCTACTATTTCTGGCCACGTCGATTTAAATACCGATGCCGTTCTGGTTGATCGGCAAAACGAGGTGGCTGTGTTTGATTCATCAGAAACGAATGCCTGTGGCATCGTCCCTGCGTCTGTTGATAATGGGGTCAAAGTCCGCGATCATGACTTTTGCCGGGTCGGAGATAGTCTAGGAGTGAATGAGTCGGTGAAGCCGGGTTACGATGAATTGTCTTGTGGAACCGGACGAGAGGGTTTTGATAAAGATACTGAAGTCATGCAGAGAGCAAATGATATGGAGGTAGGGGCAGAACTTCTTCGTGGAGTTTTCAGAGCTGATAAATGCTTGGATTCCGCATTAAACTATGGCGTTGTGAATGATGTGGAGTATGGGGACGAGAGTGGAGTTACTGATAATGGCTTAACTAGCATTGAATTTAAATTAAATAAGGAGGCTCAAGCAGAGGAGAACCAGATCATTTGCCGTAATGCGGGCAAAAATGCTAAAGATTTTGGCGATGAAGGGAATGGAAGCGAGCGGAAGTGTCATGTTGATGAGTTAGCAGACCAGGGAGCTATCAAAGTTATGGGAGATGAGAACAATGTCAACGCTGCTCATGTAGCAGACCAGGGAGCTATCAAAGTTATGGGAGATGAGAACAATGTCAACGCTGCTCATGATAAGGTTTCTACGGATGGTCCTAATCATCATTGTGCCTCAAGAACTTCAGAATCTGTGTGCCAATCGCTGGATGGCGTTCTACATATGGAGGCCAAGGACGTTAATTTTAAAGAATCTTTGCATCATGAATTCCCAATTTCAAGAAATCATCTTTGTCAGGTAGAAACTTCACATCCTCTGAAAGAGCCATCCCATGAAGTTTGCGCACAACCAGAGGCGCTAAAAAGTCAGACCATGGACATCAACCTGACTGAAGTATTGCCTTTGGGAAATATTCAAAACGAGTGCCATGGTCTTAATCTTGTTGTAGATTTTAATTCATGCAGAAAGTTGGTGCAGATTGACATGAATATGAAATCATTGTCTTCAGAATTCCGTGTATCTGATTTAGTATGGGGAAAAGTGAGGGGTCATCCATGGTGGCCTGGCCAGATCTTTGATCCTTCAGCTGCATCAGAAAAGGCAAAGAGGTATTTTAAGAAAGACAGTTACTTGATAGCTTATTTCGGGGATCAATCATTTTCTTGGAACGATGCATCAAAGATAAAGCCATTTCAAATGTATTTCTCACAAATGGAGAAACAGAGCGATTTGGACAATTTTTATCATGCTGTTGATTGTGCATTGGATGAGATCTCAAGACGAGTTGAGCTTGGCTTATCCTGCCCCTGCACGCCTGAAGTCCTCACCAATCTTAAAACCCAAATAATTACTAACGCTGGAATCCAGGAACACTCAAGCAGAAGAGATGGAGGGGACAGGTTTCTGAATGCAATCACTTTTGAACCCAAGAAACTTGTCAACTTCGTTCAATTATTAGCAGAGTCACCACTTGTTGAGTTTGATAGATTGGATTTGGCAATAGCACGTGCCCAATTTTTGGCCTTTCGCAATTCAAAGGGTTATTCTCAACTGCCTGAGTTTGTAGCGAATGATGCGTTGGTCAAGGATGATACGGAAATTATAACCATGGACGTGGAGGAAAAAGGGCAATATGATGATCAAATTGATAGCCAAGGATTGGAAACTGATATTGGCTATTCACCAAAGCGAAAGCACATCTCTGGAAGAGATTGCGTGTGGCCCTGCAAGAAACAAAAACGTTTGTCTGATTTGATGTCTGAAAAGAGTTTGCGTCTCCCAAATGACGAGCATGCTTTGGGTGGGGAAGCTGATGGTGATGAGTCGATTCTGTTTTCTTCTACATGGAAGGCATATGAGAACACTTCTGATGATGATTGTCATAAATCCCGAAATATTATTCTTATCCAATTGCACGAAGTTTCTGTAGATGAGATGTGGTGGCAACTTCGCTTGGCTGCTAGAGATCCCACAAGAGATGGCTGCTTTACTGTCATGGTGAATTTTTTTGCAGAATTCAGAAATTTCTCTAGTCCACATTATTCGACGCTAATGGAGCTCTGCAATGATTCTTATTGGACTGACAGAATTATTCAGAGTATTCCTGAAGAGCAATCATCGTTAGAGAAACAGAATGAGAGGGAGGAGTTTCTGCCTGTGAATCCGGCTGAAGGGGTTGCTCCCTCTTTCAAACCGCAAGCAGGTGTTGATGGGAAGGAACGTTTTGATGAGAACTCTAAGGAAGGTACCTGCCCAGCAGCCCTGATTCTTGAATTTACAAACCTAGATTCTATTCCTTCAGAAACAAGCCTCAACAAAATTTTTGGCCGCTTTGGACCATTGATCGAATCACAGACCAAACTGTTGAAGAGAAGTAGACGTGCCAAAGTGGTTTTCAAAAGACTTTCTGATGCAGAAAGCGCTTTCAGCAGCGCTGGGAAATATGGCACTTTTGGACCTTCACTTTTTAGATACCACCTCAAGGTTATGCCTTCATCATCCAAAGCCCCTGTTGGTGCAGGAAAGCGAGGCAGGAAAAGAAGTTCTGGGGAAGGCGGTGAAGTCTAGTGCCTTGGCATATATTGCTTTAACCTTAGATATGACTTTAACGCTAGGTGTTTTCTTTTGTCCAAGTCATTGTTCTTATTTTTAATCTTTTGATAAGCTAACGTGTCCAGCATGCTAATGCATAGGAGTGAACAGCCTGACTAATTGATGACGTAGGAATCGCTCGGGATACGATCAAGTCGATATAGTTTAGACTGATCATGCTCTAGCAAGTAGTAGCTGATGTGATGATAATTACCAGGTTCGAGCCGATAGGACAGTATCAACCTTTTTGTAAAAGTGAATCCACATATGTTACTGTAATTATTAAGTTTGGTGTGTTATGAAAACCAAAGGCTATAAATCTTTTGAGTATTTTACTGGTTCACTTTGCTGGTAATCGGTTAGTCGTTTCCGTTTAAGCTATCCATTATTTCATTATGTGTACTGGTAATGCTGTGGATTACTGGGGCTCGAATAATTGTCGCTCAAATTCTTGTTAAGCTCACTCCAACCGCACCAAAAAGAAAAACAGAGGGAGAGATGATAGAACAAATAGTGCAACGCATATAATTTCTCTTTGAACTGCAAACGAGCGATGAGTGTCTACAAAATTTTACTCATGAATTTAAATCTATATAATTTATCTCAGAGAAGCAACGGTCATGTTGGCTTTCATTGAAACCCCGGTTTAATGCATGTGGACTCACTGCAGAATTCAAATATTTTATTTCATTCTAAGGGGCTTGGGGTAGCTGAAATTTGAAGGCGGAGTGATTGAAATCATTGATCACATTGGATTTGGCAGCTTTGAGACTTGAGACTATGGAAACGGGAAGAGAGACGATTTTTTTCCCAAAAAAAAGAGCAAAGCATGTTTGGGTGGAATACTTTGAATCACTCCACTCCAAAAGGTTTAGCATATAACGTGTTTGCGCACATATTATATAGATCATATTATATTATAATCTAAAACTTTTTCCTACTTCCTTCTTAATAATAAAATATCAGAAAATATGAATAATTTTTTCAACTAAACTACAGGACGAGACAACACTTAAAATTAAAATACACAGTATTTATTAAATTTCTATTCTTTTCTATTTAACGATGTTAAACTATTTTTAACCCCGTTTTTCATTGTTAGGGCCAGTGGTTTCATTTTCATGAATGAAAAAGAAATTATATTAAGGGTAATAAATATAATACTAAACGTTTTTTCAGGCCAAAGAATACTAAATACTAAAAAATTATATAAAAGAATTCACATATCACTACTCACTAAAAGAAATTGATGGTTTGAAGACTGAAGCCCAAGTTCGTTGCGGCTCAATGATGTCACACGGCGCTCCCACTTTCCCCGGCCTTCTTCTATTGTGTGTCATCCTCGTTTCACGCCTTTATTTTTCATTTAAAAAAGGTACATTCTTATTATTTTTATTTATTTTTAAATCCAATTATTCAAAGAGCCGCTACTCCTAAGTTCAAAATTCTCAAACCAGACAACTCCCTCCCATCTTGGGCACTGAGATTTGCCCTACTCTGATCCTCACTTTCCATTGTTCTTTCAGAATCTCTCACATCTTGCCTTATCTTCGCTGCTTAAACGCGCTTCAGATCGATCATATTTTCTGAAATGGAGGGTTCGCAAAGAAAGAAGGCTGCTCAAGACCGTCGACTTAGTATTATCGACGTTTCGTCGGCCGACGACTCCCTTCTTGATCCCCTTTCGGGGAATCCTGACAAGCAAGATTCGGGCCACCTTTCCGGTTGGCTTTTTAAATCCCAATCCCCTGCGATGTTACTCAATATTTCGTTTGTCCTGAACTCTGATTGTTGGTTGGAGTTTTGTTGGTTAACTTGCCTTTACGTTTCTGTTAAATTGTTTCCCTGGTGTTTCGTCCTTCAAACGTTGTTGGAGCCTTGAACTACTGATGGTTTTGATACTTGCTCTTGTTTTGTTGGGCATTTCTTGTTCGTTTGAACTACATAGGGTATTTCTGGTTATTTCTTTCTGTTTTTTAAGGAACAGAAAGCAAAGAAAGAAAAACTTGCTTGCTGCAAAATTTCAGTGGTATCAAGGTTTTAGTGTTTTTGGGAAATAAGTAGAACTGATTTTGAGCTACGTAGTTACGAACTTATGGTCTCAATTATAATGCGATATCCTCAGAAATCTCTACCTGTTGTAACATCTTGACTTCAGTGATATGTTTACGATTTTATATAACCAGATGAAAGTCATTCACGACATTTTTGTCAGATTTATACATTTAGAGGCTAATGGGACGAACCATAAGTGATGTTATGATTGCCAGTTTTTGCATTGGTTGAATTCTCAGTCACTCGACTGTATTGTTATGGTGGATTACACGTTACAAAGTGTTACCCGGTACTATTTCCTATGTCATCGCGAAACGTTGGGTTTAACATATTATTTGGAGGACCATGCACTCCCCCCCCCCCCCTTTTTTTGGCCACGGATCAATATAGGGCTATGCAGTGATCTCATGTCTGCTTCATTTCTGAGATCTGTGTGCAAATCTATGTAGAGTCTCTACCCGTTCCCCTGTTTCAAGTCTACTATTTTTTCTTCTGCTTTTTCGAATTAATATGCATATTTTTCAGTTCTTATTTGAATAACATGTTTTCAGACAACCAAGAGCAGGCAGAGTTGCTGGACACTCCGAACTCAAGAAAGTTTGAGGATGCATCAAGCAAACTTGAAGAGTGGGAGCAAGAGCCCCGACCAAGTGAAACCTTTGAAATGGGAAAGACAAAGAAAAACAAGTGCAATCTGCGTAAAAGTTTAGCTTGGGATAGTGCTTTCTTCACAAGTGCTGGTACATATCTTTGAACCCTTGGAATTTGCGTTTTTTTCCCGCCACTAAGATGTCTGCTGTGTTTCATTGCAACTGCCATGTGTATGTTGTATTCAGGTGTTTTGGATCCTGAGGAGTTGTCCAGCATAATTGAAGGTGTAGAGAAGGATGAAAAGCATGCGTTACCGGGAATTAAGGAGGATTTATACATGTCTTGTGATTCCATATCTACATTAGAAAGTGATAGCTTGACGCTGGAAAGTCTAGAGGCTGATTTATTTGAGGACATAAGAGCTTCAATTCAGAAATCAGGCAAGATGTCTGATGCGGCATATGGAAAGAGCAAAGTGTCGTCAGGGGTAGCAGGATTCCAGACTGATGACTGTAAGCAGCCATTACCAGGAATTAAAGAGGACGTGCACAGGTCCTGTGAGTCCATCTCTACATTAGAAAGCGATACCTTGACTCCAGAAAGTATGGAGGCTAATTTATTTGACGATATAAGAGCTTCAATTCAGAAATCGAGCAAAACTTCCGATGTGCAGCTGGATAGAAATAGCCCAGTGCCATCAAGGGTTGTAGGACTCCAGACTGGTGACGGTAAGTTTCTATTCACTCACTCTAAACTTTTTATTGTCGTACCATTCTCCCTAATTAGCAAGCTTAAAAGCGTTCATTAGGAAAGTTTGTAGAATTAGAATAGATGAAGCTCCTTAAGCCACGATCTTTTCTGCGTGCCATTAATTTTTCCTTTGCACATTTGACCATGTTAAGAACAAGATAGAAAGCACGTTGAACGTTATTTAATCGCTCTGTTCCTACTTAATTTTTTTTTTCCCTTTCCAGTGTTAGAGACGACTGGAATGACTTCTGGGAACAAGGTAGGGCTAGTTTTATTTACCTGTACATGTTTATAATATGAATTTTTGAATTATTTCCTTCTTATCTCAAGACAAAAATAATTGACAATTTGAAGAAAAATCTCTTCATCAACTCTGTTTATTTCAGTTGAGAGCCTCATCTTCTAAGAATTCAAGTACTACCAGCGTGCAACTATCGGGAAGAATGACCAAGAATCATGCCCGTCCCCCAGTTTTACAGGTATGAATATATAGAAAAGCAACAAGAGAACTTATGGCTCTCTGCAAGCAAGTGGTCAGGAGTCTTAAAATAAAAATTTTGGTGACTTTATGTAGCTGACACAAGTTTCTTTTGTTTCGAAGAAGCTCAGTGCCAGGAGGGGAGAGCCATCTACTGTAAAGCAACCTAAGTTACCTGCCAAGTCAACTCCAGGTTTAACCATGTCAACAAAGAGAGCCTCTCTTGGTGGTCTGCATGCTGCAAGTGAAAGGGACAAAACAAAACGAGTAGTTGGTGATTAAACTTCACCCTGGCTTTATCTTGTTTTCCAAAGTTATGCCTAAGAGTGCACCTCTCTGATTTGTAAGTCACTTTTTGGTTAATTCGACCTTTCAGGCAGTGTGTGTACAGTGCCCAAAGCACCCACTGTAAGGGGTCCTGGAGGTATGGTGCCTAAGACGACAATAACATCCAAATCATCCTCAGCTCCCTCAGTTGCAACCAAGACAAAATCAACATCCACATCTTCTGGTAGAAACTTATCTGGTAACACCAGTAAATCTCCTTTGAATTCCTTGAAAAGAAAAGTTGATGCTGGCGCCATTAAGCCACCTGCATCTGGCTCAGCTGTCAGGACACCATCAAAAGTTGGTCCGAGAAATAAAGCTGAGTCGGGGAATTGTAGCCTCTCAGGTTCAATGTCTGTAACCAAGCTCTCTTCTAGCATTTCACCTGCTAGCTCTGTCAGTGACAGGTCTTCAGAGTCTTCTTCATCAACTTGTATGAGTAAAAATAGGTCTAATAGTTCAAGGACTAGCATTGATAGCAGCTCTTGCAGAAAGGTCTTGTCAGACACTGATACACGACAGGTTTCAAGTTCTCTGAATTCTCCAAGTGATTCAAGCTTGGAAGGGCGGGAGAGTCAGTTGATTGGCTCGGTCGGTCAGTGTGCAAGGTCCGTTTCTGGAGGAACAGCTCTTCCATCGGCTCCCACGAGACCATCGGGCCTTCGAATGCCTTCACCAAAGATTGGCTTTTTTGATGGGGTGAGTTTTACATTTTTGTATATCTCTGAGGTACTTACGAACTGTTTTTCCCCTGGAGCGATTTTCCGAAATTCATTTGAAGTTTTGTCATAATGAGCTGGTCATTCAGCTTAAAATCTCTATGTTGTTTTTGACCGATGCGGAAGATATTTTTATAAATTACGATTTTTACCCATTTCTTTCTGCATACCCATATTACACCAATTTGTTCGACTAGAATTACACTTGTTATGCAGATGAAATCGTCTGGGCGCACCCCTTGTGGGGGGAAACAGTCGCAATCTCTTGTACCTCGTGGCTTGCCCCATGGAAGTAGCGTCGGTCCAACTGAAGGCCAAAACAAAGCAAACCTTGGAAAAGTTCAGCCAGCTAGATCTAACTTGTCAATAAAAAGAGCGCAACCCAATAACCAGCAAACTTCACAACCAAATCCTGTTCATGAATCGCTGGGTGTAGCGGTTATGACGTCTAGCGCTTTGCAGAATGCTGAAAGCTCCTCTGAGATGTCCATGGAAGTTCCAAACAAGACTGTTCTTGAAAGCACTGCCGGAAACACAAGTAACATGACCGAAGGACATCCCGTAGGAATGCAAGAGCTCAATCTTTGTTTGACACGCAACATTAGAATTGCTGATGAAAAGCCTAATAAAAGTGATTCTAGTTCTACTTGTGATGTTGAAAATTCAGCTCGTGAGATTGCTGGAGAAGGCCCTAAATGTGGCAAAGTTGACAAGGTTGAAGGTTCGGTTCTTCATGAAGCAATGGACACTAAGGAAGCAGTGGACAGTTCCATGGATAAACCGAGTCCAGAAGGTGCTAATAACATGCCTTCACTGAATAGCATAGACAACGTTCGTATTGTCGACGAACATAATCCTAGCATTTCAAGCGCTACGGAAATTGATAGTTTGAGCTTTCAACTTGGAGGTATGGATATAAATTCGAAGATGCAGAAAAAATTCGACAGTCATTCTCTTTCTTGCTCTCTGTCCGATGTCAACTCCCAAGATGATCTCAATGTTATCGAGTTACCTAGTCGCAAGGAGCACGTTGACTGTCCTAAAGTGGAAGAATCCTTCAATGATCTAAATTCCCTTGGTCCTTGTTCACCTGCTCGCACAAGGAGACCCTTTGCTGTGAAAGACTCCTTTTGTAATATGGATGGCTTGTTCAGAGTTTCTACAGATTCGTCAGTTGCAGAGGTAAAATCAAACTTGTCCTTGCCACAGACTCAAAGCATGAGCAAAGAAAACTGAGGTGGCCTTAAAAAGTTGGGCTAAAGATTCTTTACATTTCCTGTTTTGTTCGAAAATTGCAACCATAGAAGTGTTGATTCTGATTGGAGTTATCCTATTCAGGCTATTGAATAGAAGAATTATCATTCCGATTCCGAAGCACAACGTAAAATTTATGTTAATTACATTGCCATCCTATACATAATCGACCAAAAAGAAACCGCGGAGTTTTGTCGTGGTAGATTGGAAATGGATTGCCTGATTACTATGGAGAAATTGGATAACTGAGCGAATTTTGGGCTTTTTTGGGGTTACTTATAAGCATGCAGTAACCTAACTGGAGAAAAAATGTTTAGAATGATATCCCGAACTTTTCCTAACAAAGTTAAATAATAAAAGAGAACGTTCAAAATTAACAAGTCATTTTATTGAGTTGAATACTGATTTAAACAATTATTGATCACCAAATTATCAAGGGAAAATTGTACTTGGAATTTATCAATGATATTTATATTACCCTTCTAAATTTGCCCATGGAAAAAAAAAATACCATTAAAACGTACCTACTCAAAATTCTCGAGTTCTGCAAAAGCCCCAAACCCATTCGGCTAGCCCCAAATCATTCGTAGGACTGTCCTTGCGTCTTAATTGAATTCCCAAAAACGAAGCAGTCTAGCTGGTCCACTTAGTGCCTATTTGGCATCACTTATTTTGAGTTTATAAGTAGCTTATAAACTCTATAAGTTCGATTGACATAATGGGTTTGTTTGGATCAGCTTTTCTGCAATCGGGCTTTTATCTGAAAAGCTACAATAATATAAGCTAAAATCAACAACTTATTATTTATAGCTTATGGCTTATAGCTTTTGAAATATGGAGAGAGAAAAAATTAAGAAATTTATTACTTCTTTTGGTTCTTATTATAAGCCTCAAATAACTAATTTGTAGATAATAAAAAATCAGTTAAAATTAGTTGAAAGTAATGAATAAGTTAGAAATATATTTTTATTTTTAAATATGCTCCTAAAAATATACTTTTATTTTTTCATGTTTTACTTTATATTTAAAATATTTTTTATGACTTTTTCATATTAAATTATTTTAATTTCATTGTATTATGTGAAATTATTTTTTTAATCATGTTTCATTATTTATTAAAACTCATATCTATTTTGGTCATTTTACAACCAAAGTTACTTTTACTCAATCACAATCCAAACAACCTTTTAACAATCTCACTTTTGCAATCTAGCTTTTCTGAATTCTAATCCAAACACAATTCAGCTTATCCAATTTCACTTCTCTATAAGTTACTTTTTCAATAAGCTACTTTTCCAACTGCTGATCCAAACGGACCATTAGTTGAGCCTCAGCTTAATCGGTTTGAAGTAGGAAAAGGAGCTTGTAAGGTTCCCCGTTCCCATTTGACCTCAGCAAGGGAAAAGGAACACGCTTCAATACTAAATCGCATAAACTTCCATGCACGCCGAGGAACAAAACACTAGCTAGAACAACACGCCATATATTGGTTCTAACATATTGGTTCTAACTTCCGGTCTGCCCTTGGTCGCGTCGTTTATCCTGCCATGTTCCGCGAAATTACCACTCCACGCCGGGACTCGGGAGAAACATATTCCTTTGAGAATAAGATTATCGATGCCGTTCAAGTTATGCATGTGCTTACTACTTTGACATGTATATGCATGCTCATGATCCTGATCTCCAATTTAATTATCAGTTTGCTACATCTGTCGTCAAATCTTCCCAGAGGTTACAAGAAACTCCGTAATGAAACATCAACTAGGTCTTAAGTTTTAACTAACCGCCCCGCTGAATTATTGTCGAGTAAACCACCATACGCATTGAATGTTCAACGGGTGCGTTAGTGAAGAAACCTTGCAGATCTCCATTGATAAGATTAACGAAGAGCTAAAGTAAAAACTAAAGATCGATTGGGTTGCGTACAAGAAGATTCAAAATTGTTCACATCAACGAATTTCAACATCAAGAAGCAAGATCCATAGCACTCCAAAGACCATGAAAAACCGATAAGGCAGTCTAATTAATTTAAGACCTTGGCTTCTCCTTCTTCTCCTTGAAGAGGGCAAGGAGTGAGACACCAGATACCTTCACAACCTTGAATCTGACACCAGGAATATCACCCACGGCATGACCCTTTCGTCCAAATCCAGCTATCAAGACTTCGTCCTGCAACCAAGTGGCACAACCCATAATCCACAATAGTCAATGGATATATAAGAGCAATTTCACATCAAATTAAGAATGTTAGCTTCTAACCCTAGGCAATATCAAAATAGGAAAAAAAATGATTAAACACACTCACACAAAATATAAAGAAGGGCCTTACATTCTCTTCTATGTAGTTTAAGCAACCATCGTTAGGGACGAAAGCAGCAATCTTCTTCCCGTTCTTGATGAGTTGAACCCTGGCACACTTACGAATGGCAGAGTTTGGCTGCTTAGCCTCAATACCTCTGGCATATGGAAGAATACCATATTAACATACTAACATTAGAAGCTATGATGAAGGTAATTTGAAAGAGATAACACGGACAAGTGAACTATAGCTTACATCTTTTCAAGAACAATACCCTTGGCGTGGGAAGATCCAGCAAAAGGTTTCTTCCATTCATTGCCAAGGTGAGACTTTTTGTATGCCTTATCCGCCCACCTTTGCCTCCTGCGGTGGGACCTCAACTTGCGGGCAGCTCCCATACCTCTCGTCTTCCTGTGGAAGACGGAACGCGAGTGAGAAATTCAATTCCACACATCATATGTTCTTTGGTTCTTTTCTTTCGCATACGTTCATCCTCATAAAATATGAAACCGAACTTTTAACATGAGGCGAAATTGAAAGACTGTTATTCTATAAACAACTTTCAAGTGTCGATTTCCCGCATCATCGACAATATTAACAGGTAATCTCACGGAAAAAATCATTTCCCCTCATAATCAAAATAAAACAGTCGCACACTTTCACTTCTATCAACTTGAAGCCAATATATTTCCGTCCGAAAACACGCTGCATTCTGTTGTTCATAAAATCTAACTATTTCCGAATGCATTTGCCACCTGTCCAGTTTATAACCACCCGATTCCCCGCAAGATAAGCGTAAAGCAAATAGCACCAGAAGAAGAGAAGGCTTGAATTAAGAACACAAAACATCATCTTTCACCGGAAAAAGAGCAGTTTTGAGGCTAAAATTGCATTATCAAGCTCGCATTGGAGTCCAAATCACAGACTTAGCGGAACCCCCAGGAGTAAACAGAAGGAACTATACCATAACAAAATCAACATATTACCGGATTCAACAACTTCATTTTCCACTCATCAGTTTTTTTTTTTTTTTGTGAAGAGCAACAGGGGGAAAAGACAATAGACATCAAATATCTAAAGACGTTAAATACACATAACAAAAGGCGCAAGGGAAGAACGCTTATTATGAGAAAATAGTAATTTTGAATCATAATAGGTTCTTATAAGCAGGAAGGCAATATTAGCCACTGGACAATTGAAGGATTCCATACCCCATGGTGACGGCTACTTGGTCCTCCTCTGCTACAGCTCGACGTCGAAGAAAGGCGAGCAGCGGCTAAAAGCACCACAAAACCCTAAGCGTTTATTTCAACAAGATGTTTATATAGCGAAGAGGGGGATCTTATTGGGCCTAATTCACAGCGGGCCACGGAGGATAGGAAATTTAAAAAGCCCAATGGGCCTTGCATGATTGTTGCGGCATGTTTGTTGATGCCCTCTTAAAAATTATAAAAGCATTTTACCAAAAAAAAAAATGATAAAAGCATTGTAGAAAAAACAATGGATAAAAGGAAGTTAGGAATGGGGAAAAATCGGTCAGGCCCCAAACATGTATGATCGCAATTTATGATCGCAATGACAAAATATAAAAATGCATCAAAAAATTAAATTATATAACTCCTACATACATTTTTCAGATTCCGATTCATGAATGTTGATAGTTTTTTTGGGGGAAAATGATAGTTTAATACGACTTATGATTAAAAAATGTATAGTTAAGTAAATATTTAAATTTCTATTCCAGGGTTCTCCTAACTAAGACCATTGACAATATATCTTCCCTCCCTTTTTAGTTAGCGTCAGTAATAGTAATGTATTCCCATGAAATTACAGTCGGTTCTCGACCAATGGAGCTCCATATATGCTTCTCCTGTACTGGAAACTGTTAGTGATGAGTCACTGCACGTTTTCCAGTCATCCAGGTACTTGTTAAACGTCTCACAGTAGTAATGTTAGTCTTCTTTAACGTATTCGAAATTTGAGGAAAAGCTCCGTGGCTTCCTTACTAAAATGATGCTGCATGATACAATTTTCCTCTGCGATTGTGTGCGCAGTTATGCACGCTGAAGTCAGCTTTCATGATTTGGATTTTCTAGTAGTCACCCATTGTTCAGACTATGGCGACCCGTAAAACCCACCTCGTGAGAGTTGCAGGAACTTCTCGATTAAAAAAATGTACAACCATTTCATTTAATCATATACAACCATTTGAAGCTCAGATTTGCACTGTGAATGTGGCATTTTACTTGGCTCAATGACCAAAGAAGAACAAATCAAATAAAATATTAAACAAAAGTTGAACTCGCGATTGATTGATTCAATACTGGCATGCCACTCAGTCAAGGGAAGTAGTATTGACATATGTCTCAAAACTAACACAGACTCTTTCATCCATAACTTCCCAGGTATAACGTAAAAACATACGAACTGAAGGATATTACAATTACATTCATTTAGGTCTATAGCCGATAACCACTCTGCAAATACTAGATAGCTGAAGGGTGAACAACTAAATTCCAAGTATCTACAAAATAATTGTAACAACCTTCTTCGACGGAGATTCTCCCATCAAGCTGCTCCAATGGTATCATGACGCAACACCAAAGTACCTGAAAATCAAATCAAAGGAAAATCAAGGTCACTTGAAACAGCACATTATAACCATCTTGGTCAAACATGTTAAGAGTGTCAAACTACCTGAGACGTGTCTGCTAATGATTCTTCTTCCACAACACTCCAATCTTCTTCAACATGTTTGTATTCTTCTTCTTGGGTGAGTCATCGTCTGTGTCTTCTGAATAGGGTGAATTCATCTTGCCAGCAACAGAGTTAAAGCTACTATCAAGTGAGCTATTTCTCTCCGCCAATTTTCCAGTATTTCCTCCAGAAAGCATGGAAGCTGCGGCTTCTGCTGCTTTTCTCCACTGGTCTGATTGCACTTTTAATCTCCTTAACTCAGCTTCCAATTCTGAATTTGCAGCCTGCGCGGCATCTAGCTGCTCAGTCACAAGCGCTACTCTCCGGTTACTCCTATCAGCTTCTTCTGTTATGTGTCCCAGTTTCATCAAAGCTTCTCGCTCTCCGGCCCTTGCTGCTTCAGTAGAAGCGATGGCCTCCTCGCTGATTTTGTTCTTCTCCAATTCCCCTTTCTCAATTTCCATCTTGAGCGTGTCATTTTCATCGGTTACATTTTGCAATTCTGTCTGTCTGTCCAACAAACTCGCCTTCAACTCCACTATATCAGCATCCAATTTTTTTAACTCCATCTCAAGTTGAGATTCTTTTTCAATGGTCTGGTCTTCTTTCATCCTTATGCTAAGCTCCTCATTCTCCTTTGAAATAATCTGCAGCCGAGATTCTTTGTCCATTAGGCTAGCCCTCAGTTCTTCAATTTCAGCTTTTGCTCTGTTCAACTCCTCAAATAATTCGGCCTCCCTCAAGCTAGACTCAGATTTTGCACGCTCCATTTGTTCGTAAGTGCTTCTAATCTGCAGAGTGCTCCGGATATACTCTTCTTGGTACCTTGTGTCAGCTGCCTCTAGTGCAGATTTTAATTGTTCAACTTCAGATTTGGCAGACATGAGCTCAGCTTTGAGCTGTTTTATTTCCTCGTTTTCTTGATTTGCCTGTGCAAGTCCTGTTTCATTGGTTGGACCCAGTGGGTTACTGTTAGCAGTAGCAGCCAGATCAGCCTGGAGTTTGCTCACAAGTTCTTCCAGTGATTTTACTTGTGCTCTGGATTGCTCCAGCTCCAAAGCTAATGATTTGTTAGCTTCCATGGCTTGGATCCCATCTGACCGGAGTGTTTCCACTGTCTTATTTGCAGTTTCTAACTGCAGTTGGGTTTTGCCAACTACTTCCAAGGCCTGGGACTCAGATTCTTTGCAATCACTCAACTCATTCTTTAGCCTTTCCACCAAGGAAAGAGTTTCAGAAAGTTCCATCTGCAATTCCTGAATCTCAGCGTGAGCTGACTCTGCATTCCTAACGTGAGTGGCTTCAGATTCTGACACTCTTTCCAGTTGAACTTTGAGCTTCTGGATTTCATTCATGGCAGAAAGTAAAGCAGCCGAGTCCATCGAATGCTGCTTCTGGACTGCCTCTAGTTCAGATTCCCATGCTCGATCGCGGTCTTGTGAAATTTTGCGTAGCTCTTGGAGTCGTTCTTCCTCAGAAGCTGAAATCTCCACGAGCTGTTGTTCTGATTCGTCAAGCTTTTCTGACATGACTAAAACCTGCTTCTTTGCCTCTTCTGCCTCCTGCTGGGCTTTTCTCTTCAATGACTCAGACGAGTTCAATTGCTCCTGATATCTCTTCAAATCTTCTTGGAGTTGAGCAAGCTGAGACTCCAATTCCTGGACTCTACCAGGTTTCTTTTTCTAGAATAGAACACAAAAGATTTAGATACTGAAAAGAAACAGCAATGATGTAGATGTTTTGGGTTCTAAGTAATAACATACAGATACACCAATGGTCCCAATGGCTTTCTCAAGCAAGATTGAGAAATGAAATACCTCAGACATTGGACTACGTGGTGATTTGCGGTCAACAACTTTTGGACTCCTATTATTCGAAGGCTTGCTTGCTGGATTTGGAGAGGATGGGAGTGAGTCAGGATCAGAGGCCGGTGTCTTCAATTGTCGAGCAGTCCGAGGTGTTGCCGGAGATTTCTTTTGGGGTACTTCTGAAGTACCAGCTCTGCTAATCAACAAGTCAAGCAAAGAGAACCAGTAAATAAGCCAAATGTCAGGTACTATTGCTCCATTTTGAAGGCCATGCCAGGAACAGATAATTCAAAATCGTTACTCTCCCCATAAAAAGACGGAATGCTGCAAGAGTTTAAAACTAATAATGGATCTTACCTTGCTTTTGGTGTCTGCATATTTAATCACCGAAGTGATAGCTCGAAAGGCAATCTAAATGGTTCCTTTTAAAGCCCCTGACCCACAACACCTGGAATAGTTGAGAGTAAGAAATAGAAGATGAAAAGGAATATGATTTATAAGTAAGAGTCGATATCAAAGTTCACAGCTAATGCCCACCTCGGAACAGCATTCAACAGAAAAGCTAACAAACAAACCACATATAATCCCTTCAAAGAAACTCTAACTAAACTAACTCCACTACCACCTACCATAAACAAACCACAATTAAATCAACCCAAAAAATAAAAAAATCGTAACGTTACACCAGATAAAATAATTAAATTATCATTACGCAAACGAGCTTCCAAGTTCCCACTTTTTGAATTTTCTTTTCCAGCTTTCCTCTCTCGTGCTCAAATATTAAAACTTTGACCCACTCATAGACCCCACGAAAACCACTTACAACAATAAAAACCTGCTAGGATGAAAAAACTGCTCGATAAATGAATGCAGCAGAAGCAAGTTATTTTCCACATTCATCGTATGTTCCAGAACACATTAATAACAACAAACGATTGGGCGTGCAGACCGGACACCCATTATTTCAGAGTTGTTCATTGTCTTATCGTTCCAGAACGACCAAAAAATGGCCCAACTTCTTCCCTGCGGCAGAAACCATAAGCTGTGGTGCTTACAAGAATTTTCTGAAGGCCTCGCTAGGATTTTGAAGATGCAGCGAAAGAATACATGTATGTAGGTGAGGCTCGTAAAACCTTTGAAGTAGGACAAGATGAGACAAACGTAAAACGTCCTATTACTAGAGATAGGATGACTTCGCAGGAGAGAAGCCCAGATCTACGTGCAGTCTGGGACCTAATCACTGATCAGAAGGACAAGTGATAAATAATACATAAGGACAGAGGGGGCACTGGCAGAGCCCCCACTTGAAAAGTAAACACACTCTTCAATTAAGAGAAAATAAACCAACGAGCATTCAAGTATTCTAGTATTTTTAAAATAAAATAAAACCCAAAAGAAAATACAAAATTAAACACAAAATCCCTGGTTCTTGGTCTTCAACAAATAACCAGAAACCAGATTGCAATATCCAGGTCTCACATCCTAAGCTTGACTATGTCTTCGTTCCAACCCATGTAGTTAACCAAAAATAACAGATCACCCACGGAGAAAGATTAGAGTAAGCATCAAAAGCAGGACAAAAAAAAAGAGGAAGTAAAACAGGACAACAACACACATTTAACAAAACAAGAGCATAAGCCAGAATTCTCAAAGCATTCCCACAAAAATGCGGTCTTGAAAATCATAGTCATAGTAGACTAGAAGACATGATGATGAAGAAAGAAGAGAAGCAACGAGAAATGAGCAAAGTGGAGGAAACAGAGCAATGGCAGGACATACCTGAAAGTTTCAGGCGCAGTCTCAGATGGCCGAAGTCAGCAAACCCTAGTTAGGGAGAAAGGAAGGGGATGAGGAAGAAGGGACTGTTGGCAACTAAGCATTGGGTGGGATGGTAACTGAACATTTTCAGCTGCCTCAGCTTGGCGCTCACTTCCCGAGCCCCTCTCTCTCATCCCTTTTCTGTCACTGTATTTTTTTGTCAGTGGAGGGAATTGCTGGGGCAAGGAACTGAGAAATGCGTTAATTAATGTCACGCTCTTGAGCAGCCACGCGCACCACGCTCCTGTTTTCAAATTTTTCATGGGACCTAACCCCGCCGTATTTGTTCTCTGCGAGGGGAAGAGCCACTTGTCAGATGTCCATATCCGAACAGCCTGTCTTGTCCTGTAAATTTCGCATGGTAATAAGTAAGTTTTGAAAAAATTTTCTCCGATTTTTATTATCGTTCATGTAAGATAAATATATAATTTAAAAATATTTATTATTTAAATAACACAAATTATAAGTAAAACAATTAGTGTTACCATCGAGAATCCTAAAAATATAAATAAAAAAAATTTGCGAATTTGGTGCATATAAGCTGGGTTTGCAATTTCCAGTCAAGTTGCGTTTGGACAAGACCTCAAAAGACACATTGCGAATTGCATAATATCTAGTTTAACATGACTTATAAATAATTTTTTAATTATGATTTAAAAAATATTAAAAAGAGTCTAATTTCAATATATATATATATATATATAAACAGCAAGTTCAAACAAGCTCCGGATAGATGTGCGCTGCAGATCCGCGTTTTGACTTTTAAATGCATGCCTAAACGTTAAGCTCGGAGATAGCAAAACTCGATTAGCTTATTTATTTGTTATTTATATATATACTTTTAGTCCTTAATATAAAAACTAATAGACTAATTTGAATATATTTAAAAAATTAGTTAAATTAGTTATTTGTAACAAATAGGTTTTATTTTTCTTAAAAAATCTTTAATAATCAAGGAACTACTATTATTTCAATAACCAATAAATATGAAAAAAATAGATTTAGGTATTATATCTATAACCAAAATGAAAATCAAACAAGTTTTAATTATATTAAGTACCGGAGATAGTATATATTATTGCTATATTATTATTAGACGTTTGGAATGATGCGGTAGCAAGCTCCCCGTCGACCAGAGACAAGGCAAGGTCTCTGTGAGCCGTGGCCTTATCAAACCAACCCTGCTCACACCATTGTTTCTCTTTCACGGCTGGGTCAGTGTTTCGTTGCCAGGGTTAGGGATTTAATTTTTTATGAGATAAAAATATAGGCTGATCCAAAAAAAAAAAATCAGCTCGTTTTAATATGTGTGTGTGAGTCGCTTTATGGCATGATGTAATTTAAACATTTCTGAATCTCGTTCGTACTACGTACTTACGCACATGCTGGTGGTATCGTTTAGCTTCGAACAAAATTAAGTGGAAGCCGGCGTGCCACAGGTTTATATTTTATGATAACCACATAAGATAATAGAAAAGGCGCTGAACTGACGAACACTGTTAACACCTACCAAACGGTCCAAAACAGACACTCATGGCGGTTAGTTCTGCACGCGAAGATGAGCGTAGCTAAGAAAACAGAATCTTCCAATCCTTGTATTCATTCTTTAAAAAGAATACTACGTAATACGATTAGGGCAAGGTTTCGAGAAACAATAATATATGTATAGATTTGACCTAGTTAATCCCAACACAGCGGAATCCCGAAACACCCTTGGGAATTCCCACTTAGACTCGGCTCAAGGGAAGACCAATGCGACCCGTTTCAACGGATCGGACCCCAATATCAAAATACTCGTAATAACAGATAGTATATGCTTGCGTGCGTTTCCATTCACGGCATCAAACCCGAACCATTTAATGCGCCCGGCACGTGATGGTCATGTGAAGGCTAGGTCTCACCTGATGATGGGTTCATCCAAAGAGGAGGAGTCCGAAAATGAGAGATGATCGAAGATGAATAAAAGAAAGGAGAGATAGTGCTTTCGTGGGGTTAATTTGGGAGGGGCTTTGCTTTGTGTACAATGAAAGGAATGATGGAATCATCATGAAGGAGCGGCGCGCGTTTTTATGATTTCGCTTGAAGCCTAAATCAACCAACCCCATCCACAACGGGACAACTAAGCCAAGTGTGTGTGGGATGCTGCTGGCCAAAAAGGAGATATATGCCAACGTTTATATGGAGCAAGGTGGATAAAGGCCAACTTGTGCTTGGTTTATTATCTTTTCTTCTTCGTCACTGTATGGGGCTTCCAAATCTTTATCTGATGTACCATGTAATCTGTTTTCCGGTGGAAAGTAAGTATCACGGACCCAGAAAAAACACAGAATTATCCTAAAGAACGCAAAAGAGACTTAGCCTTATTATCCTACACAGCACGATGTCGCAACACTGGCGTCGTCTCGTCGTAAATAAGAAGAAGACAAGCTACTTTCCATTTCTGACCAAATAAGTTTCTTTTTTATCCGGTCATATAAATTAGCTACTTGATTTTTAGCGTGAACGAAAACATGCACAGTTGTGAAATCTCAATCAAGACATCCCGTTTTCCAGTGCTCGACAGATATCGTTCTGTTGTTTTTACTATTTCCCAGTTAATCAATCAATTATTACCTCTGTTTATTAATATAAGAACTAGTTTAACTTTTAATTTAGTTCTAAATATAAAATCTCAATTCGCTCTGTCTCCCATATTTATTTATTTATTTCATGGTAATCTTTGTAGTAGTTATACATGTTAAATGTTCTATCAAATCAAATAGTAGTTCTACCTAATACACATTATTAGCAATGTTATTTTAGAAAATATAATATCAATTTATTTTAAATAACTAACATAAATAATTTTTCTAATTTACTCAAATTAGTCAATTAGTTATTAATAAGAGAGATAATAACTAATTAATTAAAAAGAAGGGGGAATTATAATGAAATCCTAATCAAGAAAAATAATTACTAAAATGTCTTAATAACAAATTAAACAGTTTATAATGACAGGTTTTAAAATAAAACATGACAACATTTAAGATTTTTTTTATTTTTTTTATTTTGGAGCTGATTGCAATTCTTCTTAAAAAAAGTAGGGAAAATATCCAATCCAACCAACTTGGGGGTTGAGCAGACCGAGGCACCAAACAGGTCTTATTAAATGGGGCTGGGGATACCGCAACAGAGTATGGCCCAGTCCAGTCAGTATTCATGCACCCCGATAATGGGATGTGGTTTATGATGCATTTTTGGAAATGAAATGACTTGCCACATGCAGAATACCATTAACTGCGGTAATGGGGTTGAGTCAGGGCGAGACTTTAAAAGACGGAAGGGTTAATTTTTCTTGTCACAGCATTGACCAAAACAAAATTCTTATCACATCTCACATGTATACACGCCAAACATTTTTCTTGGATTTTTATAGTTCCAATCGAAAAAATATCATGAAGACACAGCGTCTTTTATAAATTGATACTCATTTCACATAAGGCATTTCTTTTATGAATGATATCACACTTAGAAATAAAACGTTCCAAACAGCAATTAGGGTAGTATGAATATTAATACTTATCTGGTCCTAAATATAAAACTTATTTTATAGGTTTTATATTTAGGACTGAAGGGAATATTACTAATAAAATTTTTCAAAATGCACGCAAAAAAAAGTCCTCATCCAACAACAAGCGTCGGTTGAAAAGTGTAGAATTGTTTGGAATGACATAGGCATTTAATCTACTTATTTAAGCGCTTATCTAAGCTGCTTATAATATATTACTGTGAATGGTAATATTTTCTTCACACATATAATGAAAGAGAATAGAATGAGTCGATGTAATAATGCAGGGGAAAATGATTTTTTGTGCCAATGGAAAAATTGTCCTGGTTTAAGCATTTATCTTTTCTTGTTATCCCGGTTTGTGCTTATTTGCACAAAAAATAGGCGTCTTAATTTAATGCAAAAGGAAAACGGAGTAACTCTGAAATCACGCTGCGAGATCTCTGGTGCTCGTAGAAATCCTCCAGAAAATTCCCATAATTTACGCGCGACAATATGCAAGTTTCTAATTCAAAAGCGATCCCATTGAGATAAACAAAAATAACCAGAATTCTTGCACTGCCCATCCCTGCATGAAGCAATTTGGGGGAGAGAATCAACAATGTCCGAAAAATGCCTTATAGTAGCCTTATTAGCAGCCCTGGTTTTTCATCCAAGATCCTCCATCAAGTGTTTCAAACCCAAATCTGAACGCGACAGCGCCACCAGTGCGACCCCACAGAAGAAGCATAGACCAGCCAAGAAAAAAAAGAGTGCCCCACCCAAGCCTCCTCAAAAACAATCCAAACCTAAACGCCAAGCCTCTACTTCTTCCATTGCAAGAAACTCTTCATGCTCTAACCAACTCACAGAGCTCCATGAAGGCGACTGGCCTGTTGATATCGTGGCAGCCATGTTTCGTGCTGGGTGGCCTCTTGAGAAAACGGTTGCCATAGAGAAGATACTAAAGGTGAATCACTCTCTGGAAAATCTCACCGAATTTGAAGAATACAGAGAGGGAGTGAAGTCCAAGTCTGCTAAAATTTGTGAGCCCGGGAGAACCCAGAAATTGGTGGTCGATGGGAATGAACTCGTACAGTTTCATGGTACACTTATCACTTGTCCTCTGGGGAGAAACAGTGCTTCACTTGACATTTGCTCGAACAGATGGTGTGCAGTTTGTAGTATGGTGAGCTCTACGTTCCTGGCGAAGGACGTTTCTGTGACGTTATGTGAGAATAGTTGGAGGGCACATAGGAAGATTAATGGAGGCTTAGTAGGAGATAAGGCCTCCGCGAGGACTGCATCTGTGCTATGCAGGGTGATCACGGGTCGGATTGCAAATTTAGCTAAACTCGGGGTCACGAATGTAAAAGATGGTGGGTTCAATTCTGGGGTATCTCCAGCTGGATATGAATCAGGTGTGTCAGAGAACCTAGCAGTATTGAATGAGAGAGCAATCCTTCCCTGTTTTGTTGTGATATACAGAGCCAGTTGATCTGTAGATTGCAGAACAAGGTGATGAGTTGGTGCTTTATAGTTAACTGAAGATTTATTGTCAGTTCCTAGCTGGTAGTAGTGGGGAATGCAATGCGATAAAAAGAAGAGAAGACAGTAAATTTTCTTGTGACCTTTTCTTCGGGACAAATATTAGAACGGAATTTCTCGCGAACATTACGTTGTGTTTTAAACAATAAATTGAACCGATGGTTTTGATTTTGATTTTGAATTCGGGGTGCATGCCGGCCACGATTTCCTCTTATTGTGTCATTATTCGGATTTGATAATTTTATTTACAGTGATGAGGACAAGTGATAATAAAATATTACCTGTATTCTAATACTATGGCATGTGGGAATTAAGTTTTTGTGTTTGGAAACTGTGTGGCCCGACATGTGCCTGTTTTGGCCCAAGCCGATGTCATGGGACGGTATGCAGGCCGGGATAATTGCTGCCCCGTAAGTTGGACATAAAAATGGAATGGGTCATTCATGGTCTGATTTTGTACGGGGAATCACTTATTAATTTGATTTGAATAGAGCATCAAAATGGACAGGATTAAAGTCAATGAGAAGTGGCTAAATCGGTAGAAATGGAACGGTCTGATCGACCAGACAAATCTCTGTATGGCTGGCTTGTTCCTTGAAGTAGATAACAAAAGTATCAGAGAGGATGCGAAATTTCGTTGGATCAGGTTTTGAGGATAAGAAGTCACAATTATCAGAAGACATGAGAATGGCTGGAAGAGATGAGGACTACAGGAGTGAGGATGTCAATGTTTATAAGAATTAGGAAGAGGAAAATCACTTGTTAAAACGCGCGCGCATTAAAACTGAATATGTAATTAGATATATCCAATTATGTAATTATATTTATCTTGTTATTTTGTTATCTGAAAATTATGTGATGTTTTTAATTTGCCAAATCACCCGTGTACGCGTGTAAAATCAACCACGACAAAGTAAACTGATAAATCAATAGCTAGACTGGTTGATTACAAACAAGATATTAAAATACTACATCTGATTCTAATTATAAAATCTCGTTTATAGTATACAAATGAAATCTTATAATTAGGACTGAAAGTATTATTAGATTATATATTTATGTATCATGCGTAATACTACCTGGGGTGTTAAAAATAAGATGACTTTATAATGAATATTGTACTACAAATTAAATTTTATGCTTAGAACTGACAAAATAATATTCAAATAAATATAACAACATGTTCACAAATCTAAACTACATTATCAAATAAATCTTATATTTAAGGGTGAATAAATATAATATACATCCTATCATCCCAAGGTCAGCTTTCTTCCCTTGTCCTGATGAGTCAGGCTGTCAGGCAGTTGCCATTTTTCGGGGGCACCCGGCGGGGACCGCGAAAACGAGGAAGGCGAAGAAGATGTGGAAGGTGGCTTTGTCTTTGATTTTCTGTCGTCGTCAACGTATTCCCTCCCGCCAACACCCACGTGCTCTTGCTTTTCTTTGTATTCCCCCTTCCCCTCAACAATTAACCTCTTTTGCAGCAAAATATTCTTCGCCCTTCTGCATGCCCAAAACTCCCTCCTCTGGATGCTTTACATATATAAATCACCCTTCCAGGTCGTTACTTCATTATTTTGTGAGGTTGTATAATTTCATCTACAATTTTTTTTTTAATTTTAAAAGATGGCTCAAAATGAGTTATACATCTGGGCAGGAGGGGGAGCACAGAGGAAAATGCAGATCCGAAATCACGATGTATAAGTATAACATGCAGTAGCTTCATTTAACATCATTGTGAGGGTTAAACCCAAACTCTTGATTGAGAGCCATTTCATATACATACTCTCTGTGCTCAAATAAACTTTTAGGTATCAAATAGTGTTGCTGGTAAAAAAGAAAAAACAAAAAAAGGTATCAAATAGTGTTGCCAGAAGCGGAGATGCAACGATCTGTGTTGAAATTTGGGGACCCTCTTCTCCATACCAGTCGAATTTGTGTTTAACCTTTAATATCATATAGTAGTGTTTCCCGAATACCATGACTAAATTGTTGACAGCCATGAATTAATTTACCGGGGAATATGAATAGCTGGCGATCCAAAGAGGACAAGGTTGCCATCCTTGACCCCCCAAGACGAATCTTGTCGGGGGCAGACAGGCGGGTATTTGCCGGATTTGACCCGAACAACGTGATGACGGGGCAGAATGAATTCCCCTGGACCACCACTTCCACGCTCCTTTTCCTTGCTTTCCCTGCTTTTCGCAAGCCACCGTGGGTGAGGAAGACCACCCTTTAGGGTGTGTTTGGTACGGGGGATTTGGAAGGGGAGGGATTTTAATCATTTCTCTTTGTTTGGCAACACACAAATTTTAGGAGGGGAGGGAAATTTTTTTAAAATTTCCCCTCCCCTCCCCTCCTCAACCTCTCCTCCAAAATTGGGAGGATTTGAAGGGAAATGGTAATATTTTGTCATATTATGACTATTATGCCCATATTTTGTCATGTTGTGACTATTATGTCCATATTTTGTCATGTTGTGACTATTATGCCCACGCCTTAAATAAAATAAGAGCAAAATTGTTTATATTAAAATATTTTTCCCCTCCCCTCCCCTCTTTTTTTATAATCCAAACAAGATAATATTAAAATCTTTTCACTTTCCTCCCCTCCCCTTCCCTCTATTAAAATCCCTCCCCTCCCTTTCCTCTCATTGAGCCAAACATACCCTAATTAAGCTTGTTTAGAACAGCTTATAAATAATTTATAAGCTGCTATTTAATAGTAATTTATGGAAATACGTGAGAGGAGTTTTATTCAAGAAACGTGCTTATAAGAGATTTATACTGCTGTGTCAAATGGGGTCTTTGTTGATTCGGCCAACTAGAGATCCCCACGTCACCCGCTTCATCGCCTCTCGCCTCCGTTCCAACTTCTTCGTACGGCCTCTATTGAAAAAACACTCCACTAAACACGCCACTCCTGGCTAGCTACGAGGCTAGTCTTTAGATGAGGTTCCTTTATGATTAAATGCATACTCAACTAGTTGATTGAAATTGTATTTTCTAAACTATTCGTTCAAAATTTAAACTTCAACTTGTACATTTTCTTATGCGAAAAATTCTCAGGAAATTAGGAAGTGATCAGAAAGAAGATATGGTTCGTTGTGCGGCTCACATGGGCCTCGTCCCTCGTCACACTAGTTGGCGTTGAGGTTTTGGTGACCGACAACTACACAGGTAACTACTTTCCACGACGTGCCAGACCCACACACGCGCCCACCATGGAGCGAGCCAGGCGTAAGCTGGGCGGCATCCGCTTGCTGACGTGTCCATATATTCACCCTCAGATGGACCACCGTTCAAGCCTTATCTATAATCAAATGCTCTTACGGTAACTTCTACCCACCATTACTCGCTCCTTATTCATTCGCCAGCGAAGAAAGCCCATGGATAATAGCAAGGGTTCTCTATTTCACAACAGAAAATCAGAATAAAAATATACGAATTAGCGGACAGATCAGGTAATACCATCTAGTTTTTCACATTTCGCAGGAACGCAAGTTTCAGCGTCGGAAGGGAAAAGAGACTAACTGCACAGTGCACACCCAGGCTTTTTTTACCATTGCCCTTTTCCTCCCTTCTTCTTTTGGTTAAATGAACTTCTTTTTGAATTTTTTATGTTCATTTTGAATACTGGTCGGCATTTTTTAATTGGAAAATATAGCTTCAAGATTACGCTTGGAAAAAGTTACATTTCGGTTCTGTTTTGTTCTGGTTGGCCATTGCCATCATCACTCACAGTGTCATTTCATTTTTATATATAAACATCAGAACTCACCTTCTCCTTTTTCCTAAATTCCTGATCATGAAAGCGCTGCTGAAGCGGGTGATTTCATCAACTGCTGAGGTGTGAGCCAGTTGTGACTGTTAGTTTGAGTGTAAATGGCGGAAGTGGACTCGTGGAGAGATGAGTTCTCCAGTCTTCTGGACAGCTCCGGCGTGCGTTATACTGGAGATCCAGTGGAATCCTCCACGCCGTCGTTTGAGGTGAGAAGATCAGAGTATGTGCCCCGTGAATCGCTGACAGTTGAATCGGAGGGATCAGCAGAGAGCTTCAAGGATCAGGCCGTGGGATTTGTGATGGCTTGGTGTGAGATACTTACGGAATTTGGTAGAGGTTGTAGGGACATTGTGCAGCAGAATTTCTTGAACGAAAACTCATATGTACTGAGAAAGCTCCGAGGGCCTTGTGCCAAGGCTTCAGAGAGATTAAGGTTTCTGAATGATTTTTTGCCCGAGGATCGGGATCCGTTTCAAGCTTGGTCGGTCGTGTTCTTCGTTTTCATTCTTGCACTTGCAGGTTACTTAATTGAGTGCCCTCTCTGTTCACTCTTTCGTTAATTCATCTGTTCATTAAAGCTTCCTTTCTCTCACTTTTTTTTAGATAGTTTGTAATAAATTGCTGCACCATAACTTTACTGCTGTTTTTTTTGGGGATATTGATAGAGCTGTGAAATTCTGAACTTCCTCTTATCCTCTCAAGACTTCCATAACATAGGGCAATTCTACTTCTGCGGGATTATTATAACATCGCTGTGTGGAATCATTTTCATGGTCGAAATTTATAATGAGCACCGATTATCATATTTTAATCATTCTATGATCATCACTGATGGATAAGCCGGGGGTCATGGATTATGCTGAGGTTGTTACATTCGGAAAAGGGTCTTCGGAACTGAATTTCAGCCAATCGTTGAATTTTTACGGGAAAATTATTCGTTTACTAGTCAATAGCCATAATAAATTTGTGCTGTAATACATAACTTACAGTTCTTGAACTCCTGATAGTAAGTCAGTTATTGTTCCCCGTCCCTTCAGACGCAGGCTATGTGTGTGCTGTGCACGAGTGTGGGCTTCATTCGAAGGGACCTCACCACCGTTTGGGCGATTATTGACTTTTATAGAAAATTTCCAAATTGTTGTTTTCAGCCTTTTTTCTGGGTAATTATAAACCTTGATTTATATGTATGCCTCCATTAACTTAGTGTACTCTCCCCCCCCCCCCAACCCAATATTGTTTTTTTTAATGTCCATGCTATTTCAATCACTTGCTATGTGCATTTTTTTAGATCCTAGAGAAACTACGATAATTGTTTATGAATGATTTCTGCTTGATGATGTCAATTTGGCATGAAATCTACTGACCTTTATAAGCAATTTGCAGCTATTAGTGTAGATCCCAACGGTGACTCTGTAGCCCCAGTGGTAAAGGTGCGCGTGCATCCTCCTAGTGCTAGGCGCATACTTCTTCCTGATGGTAGATACATGGCTTATGACGAGCAAGGTGTTCCTGCTGAAAACTCTAGATTTTCCCTTGTTGCTCCACATGCTTTTCTTTCGTCCAGGCTGGCAGGTGAGTTGTCAGAATTTTTAATTTTCAGGATTGACATTCATAATCTCTAGCATATTGTCACCAGGAACCTACAATAGATCCTTTGTTCGTGTCTGTTATCTGATTTATTGTTGTCTATTCCCCGATTTGAAGGTATACCTGGGGTTAAATCTTCTCTTCTTGAAGAGTATGGCATACGTTTAGTCACATATGATCTTCCTGGTTTTGGGGAGAGTGATCCTCATCCCAAGAGAAATCTTAACTCCTCGGCCATGGATTTGCTGCATCTAGTCAATGCTGTCAATGTTAGTGACAAATTCTGGGTTATGTGCCACTCTAGCGGATGCATTCATGCTTGGGCTTCACTCCGATACATTCCTGACAGAATTGCAGGTATTCAACAATATTATGATTTTAGTGTTTAGATTCTGATTAAAAGCTATATGTTCAACATCTGGAATTCCTATTTCCCATCTATTGATTTGAGGTTGCTTTTGGAGCTTTAAATTCTTAAGGCTTGATTTGAGGCTTAATTATAGACTATGTTGGTATATAACTTTTGGCCAATATACAGTGTGGATGCCAATTATGATATTGGCTTTAGGTCCATTCATACAGCTTAATGCAAACATTCTACTTCTTTATTCCTGTTCTACTCTCCATGCTACCTGCACAGATGAAAAGAAATATATTAGAGGGTCTGATGTTATTTATGATATTACCCGAAATTGCAGGTGCAGCTATGCTAGCTCCTATGATCAATCCATTTGAGCCACGTATGACTCAGAATGAGATCAAAAGAACTTGGGAGAAGTGGCTGCCAAGGAGGAAGTTTATGTATTCATTGGCACGTAGATTTCCAAAGCTTCTCTCCTTTTTCTACCGGAAAAGCTTCTTGTCAGGAGAGCATGATAAGATTGATAAGCAGTTGTCCTTTTCACTGGGAAAGAAGGTGAATATGCTAATCCCCAACCATTTACAAGCACTTGTTACCTTTTTTTATCAATATATTAATTTTTTTAATAGGCATTGATAATAACTCTGACTTCATGTCAACCGGAAGCAACTGTATCCATTAGTGAGTGGCTGTTGTCTGCCCATGCTGCCACTGGTTAAAATAAGTAGAATCATCTAACATGTCAACTCGTTAGAGATTTGCTATGTCTCGTGAACTGAAGCTACATAGACTCATAGCTATAGACTCATTGAGTTTAATCTTAGTATTATGAGGGGATGAGTAATTGGGCTCCAGAATATCTTCATATTATATTCTCATTGTCGTTGTAGTTATCATATAGAATGTGGGGGCTTCAGTGATCTGTATCTGACTGCAAATAATCTATATCCATGAGAAAATAGGCCCTTGTTGCTTTCCTCTAAACTTGCCTGGGAGACTGATACCTGGGCATAATAGTGAGGCTGATTTGAAAATAGGAATTAAAACACAGTGCTTGGTAAAAGACTTCCTCATTTTGATAGCACAGTTTTCTTAAGCTTTCATTGATAAAAGGCATGACATTTCTGTCATGATCTGTTAAATTAACGTGTTGGCATGTTCAGGATGAAATTCTGATAGAAGAGCCAGTATTTGAAGAATTTTGGCAGCGGAATGTGGAGGAGTCAGTGCGCCAGGGGAACACACAGCCATTTGTAGAGGAAGCTGTTCTGCATGTGACAAACTGGGGATTTGATTTAACGGAGCTTCAGGTGCATAAGAAGTGCCAAACAGGAGGCTTGCTTCTTTGGTTGAAGTCGATGTACAGCCAAGTAGAATGTGAATTAGCAGGATTTCTTGGCCCTATAAACATATGGCAGGTTTGAACTCAAATTTTCTTGTGTAATGCTGTTTGACTGTTCCTTCTATCCTAACAATATCCTATCGAGAATGAGTTCATTTCGATGCTTAGTTTTGTTCTTGTATGCTTTCTTTTTCAATTCTAAGCAGGGATTGGATGATAGGGTGGTTCCACCATCAATAGCAGAATACATTGGACGAGTTTTGCCGGAGGCAGTTATCCATAAGCTTCCAAATGAAGGTCACTTGTCCTATTTCTTCTTCTGTGATGAATGTCATAGGCAGATATTCTCCACCCTTTTTGGAAACCCTCAAGGCCCGCTTGAAAAACAAGAGGAAACTGCAATTGAGGAAGATTTACCAGTTTTTGCTTCTGATATGGAATGACTCGTGGCTACTCATTCATGCTTCCTTAGGCTGTGATTGTAAATACCACAGGCTGCTCCTCTGCTGGATGGAGCTTGAAAGACGACAATATTCATTACTAGTCCGAAAATTTCGGGTCATAAGAGCTTTTGGAGATAGAGGTAAAGCAACAACACGTCACTAAGGTTGTTTTTTTTCCCACTTTTCCACACTACATTGCATCACTTATCTCGTTTAGGATGTTTTATGGTATCTACATTAACTGAGCGGCAGAAGTCTGTCCAATGGCTAACACTTTTAGGGGGGGGGGTCATTTTCCCGCCTGGCTAATTGGATCCTCCGGAAATGCTCGTTGCCTCTTGGTGCTTGACTGCATGCCACAGATGTCGCTGTAAAGCATATAAAAATAAAACGAACGGGTTATCCCACCCCCTAAAATATAATTCGATCTGAATATCTTATTTTAGCTAAAGATTTATGAGGATTATGATATTTGTTGACATTTGAATTAAGGTAAAGTACAACGCTTTTACAAGATTGTTATGTTGTTTACAACGAAATTGTGAGGATAAATGGACGGGCAAACCAATTCGAATTTCTATTTTGTTGAGAGTATCAGGCTTGAGGAAATGTGCCGCTTCGAAGCTGTCCTCTTTAATCTATAGATTTTTGCGAGAAAAAATAGAGGATGAGAAGGATTTTATTCTCTATCATTGGTAGGTTCATAAAAATTTACACTGGAGTCGGGATTGGGAAGAGAGGAGCATGTTTTTGTGACATTCTCTTCCTTGTATATATATGGGGAAAAAAATGCACATGGGTTATCTGCTATCTCTCCATTTGCGTTTGCGCTGAGATTCTCAAAATCCCACTGATCATAGTCACATTCGGGATCACATATTTCTGGTGTGCAATTCCAAACAAAGTGACCATTTACGTGGGAGACAAAGACGGGTGTGCATCAGTAGTCTAGGACAAGAATAAATTTGTCCGTTTGTTATTATTTCTTCCTCCTTTAACTCCCAAACCAATTGACATTAAAATCCTTATTCCTACTGGGTCCGTTAAACCAAATCCTGCGTAGTGAGCAACCTTCGGACACTGGAACATATAACAGGTTATGATCTGTTTAAAATAATTTATAAATAATTTTTTAATTGTAATTTATAAAATATAAAGTAAGTATGTAAAAAAATTTTCTTAATTTTATATAACACGTGTTTATAAGTGTTTTTCATTATTATTACAAACAGGTTCTGTGGCTACTAGAGCGGTAGCTGGTACAGGGAGGAGTGGAATAGAAAGTGCTGCGACCTCTTGTCAGCATTTCTTGGGAAATGCTTGGGTCAGTTGTAATTAACACTATAAATTTAGATTCGACCACAAAATTTTAAAATGTACAAATGTCATTCTTTGTCACAAACTTCGATCCTCCAAAGATCAGCATATAATATAAGAGGATGAAAACAGAGCAAACCATCTCAATATTCGAAGCTATATCCATACTAATATCTTGCGAATCAATGAGTTAATGAAATGGAATATACATGATATGTCTCAAACGAGAAATCACGATCTTTCAAACAGAGTGATGATCTGCTATTATATCTTCCTTGTTCTTGTGAGAACCCTTTTCCGTCTGAGAAAATACCAAAAAAAAAAAACAAAGGACACGTTTAAAAAAAGGAAAAAACAGCAGGCAAAACGATTTTAAATACCTCCAGGACGATGGCATAAAATTTAATTTATAAAGGTAAGTAAAATGGAGCACTCAAGTCAAACGAACATTTCTCTTATTTTTCAGACGATCTTTCCAGCCTCACTTCTGAAACTTTCCTCTTCTGATTTAGTTAAGCATCCCCACCATTGCCCGTAGCGATTTCTGCATTTAAATTGTTTTCTACCTTCGGTGGCCCACTTGAATGCCGCCATGGTTTCGCTGGTGAAGGCGGGTAAGAAAGCCGTTTCTTTACTGTCCCAAAGGACCCTTTATCTTTCTCCTTCTGTGGCGTGCCGTTCTCAGCTGCCAACGGACTGTGCGTCCTAGACTTGGCTTTTGCAGACTGAGTCGCCACCATGTAACTCGGAACCGCCGGCGAGCTCGCAAGGCTCTCGTCGTCTCTCACAGACGCGCCACCGATGGTGTGCCGCCGGAACCGCCCTGACTGCGCACTGGCCACGCTTCTAATGTCATCGTCCATTGCAAAGCTGTTCTTTGGGCTGGCCTTCCTGAGTCTTCTGGCAGCTGGCTTTGAAGGAGTTGAATAAGAGTGGAAGCTAGGTGAGTCGGGGATTTGGCTTGCTGTGGGAGAATGCTTTTCAGAATTGAGTTGGTAACGAGCATATGATTTGCTGATTTCTCCACCAGTGATGCTGCGGCTAGAACTTCTCACAGATGAACGGTCATCGTTCATTTCTTTCTCCATTGTGCTTTGGCTCTCCCTTGTCCGAGCTGCCATCCATCGTTCCAGCCAGCTCCATCCCCAAGAAGGATTTGTTGGATCCATGAACATTGGGTTTATCGATCTGGATGAATTCTTCCATGTTTGCTGGTGGACATTTTACCACAAGAATCAAAACTTGTTCATTTGAATTGAATTCAGTACTTGCATTAACACGGCTAACGTGAGATTTGGTTTTTTTTTCTCCTCGTCTGTTTTCTCCAGCTTGCAATTCAGTTCGTAAGTATACAAAGTCAGTTTTGCTTTTATCTTTCTGTTAGTTTTCATTTATGCATTCCTTTTTCCCTTTTTTTTTCCTCTTCTGACGAGGAAAAATAATGAATATAATAAGTTCATAAGCAGATAGAGAACCTGATGAGTGAATGCATAAGCGAGCGCTTTCTCTCTCCTCATAGCTGCCTCATACTTTTGTAGTAACTTGGCTTCAATTTGTTCCTTTGATTGCAGGCTATCATCCCATTCCTCTCCAATCTGTGATGAAAATTTGAAACAAAGTTGAGAACTTGCCAAATTATATTCTGAAGACCAGGCAAATGTTGATCCAATTGAAGGATAAAGCAGTATTATATGAAAAAACAAAGAAATAAAACCCAGAGACCCGCATGCTCTCGAGCTCCTTTGCATGCTTGTGTAAGAGCTGCCTTTGCAGAGCCTGGTTCTCCTCGAACATCCTGATCCTCCTAGAACGAATCTGGGATTGCACGCGAGCTAAAGTTTGCATAGAACGAAGAGTGCTAGTGGCTTGGCGTTTTACAATTGGCCCTTCCATCAGTGTCCTCAACCTGACCAGCCCTCTCAGAGCTCGCAGAGCTCTTCTTGCCTGAACGATTTTTTGCAGAGATTTCAGTTCAAGAAGTCGACCAATCATTCAATTAACAAGAATTTCATTTCCGACCCCCCTGATTGCCCCAAAGCTTGGTTTAGGAGAGCAGCCAAATAAGTTTTAACTTCATGTAAGAAACCTTCGCTATGGAATGACTCTAGAAGAAACATATGAAGAGTGAATAAACATTGGTCTTCTGTAAAACGCAAGACATACCAGATATCCCCTAAAAGCTGTCTGAATCTTTATTGCAGCCACCTCTTCCCTTGATTTGCCGGCAAACTGAGAGATCTTAGGGGCTTGTATTGTAGCAACTGCAGTCTGAACAGCATGGATCGATCTCTCAGCTGCCACAGCTGTTGCAACTTCATGAACATGACTTTGACTGGCTTCATTCTTAACATCATATGGTTTAATTTCTTCAGGTGGAGGAGCAGGGGGACGTGCTGTTTTCCCAGAACCCACGTACGAGTCTGAGGAGATCTCCAATTTTTGCTTCCCAAACCATTTCTTCTTTGATTTGCTTGATCTCTGCGCGTGTAGGAGCTAAAACTATCAGAACTGTTTCACAGAATTAAGATAAACCAGACATATATATAGCATACCTGATCTTCCTTTTTCTTTGACTCTGGGCTGAAAGCTTTCTTCACGGTAGAAAACCAATTTCCCTTCCTCCCCATCTTCTTGGCATTCCTCGATTTGATCCTTTACCAAGAATCAAGAAATATTAAAAATGACAAGATCTCATACCTTGTGACCCAATACAAACACAAGCTTCAAGCAGCAAAAGGTAAGACTTTGGGTGGCATAAAAACCAGAACCTAATCCAGAACTGTCGGCAATTCTACCGATTATATCGAGTAATGACCCGTTAAAGGAATGTACATAACGTTATTGATATCGACTCAGACATAGAACCGACTAAAAAATCTACATTTCCGGAATTTCACAGCGAAGAAACAGAAAGTTCAGAATTATCTAACTGCATTGCTAGATGACACGCTTCCGGCGAAAATTTAGAAACACCGATATCTCATTGAGATTGCGAAAGATTCAGCGGACCCAGGAATATATGCCCCAACCGAAGAACGTAAGTGGAGAATCACAAAGAGGAGAAAATGACGAAGAACAGCGTATCAAATACGGAGCTAAACCAGAATTGCAATGGACGGACCAATCAAGATGAGAATGGAAGTACCTCAGCTAAAAAACCAAATGTCAGATCGCAAATAAGCCCTTCACTTCCCAAGGCGACTCGGCTCCATATCTCGACGGAAGAAACAAAAGAAGATTTGGAGTTGAAATCCGAGGGAAAAGAAATCAGATCTTGACAAGGGGCTTGGCGTGATATGAGAAAAGGAGAAGGAAGAAGACCAGCTGGTATTTGGGTGATATTAATGGCCCCACTACCTGGGTTTCGCACAGTGGTCCCCACCATATTAACATTAAACCTCGATGTCACAACATCACAGAATCAGACATACGAAGAAGGGAAGTCACCGTGCTCATGCCTTTTGATTTTCGCGCTGCCAATCACGCCCCGCCTCTTAATTATTCACCTCCCTCCTTTAACCGTTTTACAGTGTAGCAGGGAAGCTTGTGAGGTGTGACAGTGATCTGAGAGTGACGCCGGATTCTTTTTTCCTTTTTCTTTTTCTTCTTTTTTTTTTCCTTTTCCTTTTTTTTTTCTTATTTTATTTTCATAAAAGCATTTTCTTTTCTCTTGCCTAACTCGAGATGTTAAAATGCCTTCTCTTTGGGGTTTTCCATATAAAGTTATAAATACGCGCGCGAAAATTTGGGTTGGGTTCAAATTTTTGCCGCTGGTGTGACATCCAAACTGCGATGAAAATCCTCTAATACTGCTGTTAGGTTGAATCACTGATACAATCTGGGAATCTTAACAAACAAGGGACAACGACTTTTTGAAGAAATAAGTGCCCCTCAGTTAGCTAGGAAAAGAGGCTCTCCACTTTCATTTCTTTTTATTTTCCTCCACTTCTAATCAGAACTATTAAAATTATAATTTGAAGGATCTAAATTTTATATTATAGAAAATATTTTTATTTTGGTTTTAAATAATCATGACTAAAATTTAGTATTTTAATTTTTTTATTTATTTTAATGAAATTAACATTTTATTCATAATTTTATAAAATATAAAATGCGAACAGTTGAAATTGCAATCCTATGGTTAATACAAGAAATGGAGGAAAATGGAGAAGGAGGAAAGTGGAGAGACCCCTCTCTTCAATTCGTTTGGTTACCTACTGATATTACAATAGGGTGTTTAGTTGAATGAAAGCGCATTTTTAAAAAGATGCTTTCATGACAAATTTTTTTTTCATATATTTATTTTATATATTATAAAATTATTGTTAAAATCATGATTTTCTCATATATTATAAACACTCCTCGGCTTTTTTTTTCTCTTCCTACATGTGCCAAAATAAGGACGAAAAGGTCCAACATATCAATCACAGTTTCTTTGAATGTATATTCCCGTTGAATCACATTATCAATATTAATAGAATCGTGATGGGACTTGCGATCGGATCAAATAATGCAGGACATTAATTTTATTTTGCTGTGACATACAAATACAACTCACAGAATTCAATTTTTTTTTTTTTGATAGGTAGAACATTCAAAAGGATAAATTAGCGGAATGATGATTACCCTCAGGATAAACTAATTCCATCCTTATCAATGTACTACTACTATCGATGTGCTGAAGAAGAAAAATAAAAAACACAGGCCCCTTGATATAGGAATGCGACAAAAAAAATAAGTGCCTTTCACGCCATAAACATTGATTATTAAAGTCCAGAAAGTCTAATGATTACAATAATCTCCGATTGGAGTGGCCAAGGGGGTCAGAAACCTGGGACACCAAAAAAAAATTAAAAACAAAAGTGGCAGGTGAGAAAATTGGCCCCATTTATTATCCACCGAGGAGGGGAGGTGGATGAGATTATTTGCGATTTCATGTCGAGCATGAAAACTCGAGTCTAATTGGGATCATTTTAATTGAAACAAGTGACAAAATGAATCTTAAATCAAGAAAACTTAACACAAAATTGAAATTAAAAGTGTACCAATAATTTATTGAAAGAGGATTCAAACTGTGTTGACAAGGAATGAGCGAGCAGGAGTCTGAAATTTTGAATATTTGCGGATTAAACTACTCCTTCGGTCCTTAATATATGACCCAATTCTTGAGTTGGTTTTGGTCCTAAATATAAAACCCATTTCTGATATTTTTCAATTTTCTCTAAATTACCTTTATGGATACTCCCCCAACCATAATCAAGTAGAAAAGGGAGAGAGGGTATTAAGAAAGATGACTATGGTGTTTTAGGAAAAATGTGTCACTTTTTATATAATTAACTAATTTACCTAACTTTCTTAATCTAATCAAATTAGTTAAATGGGTCTTATATTAAGGATCGGAGGAGTAATAAACACGGGAAGGCGGTTAGCAAATGGACAAAACGCAGAAGAGAAAGCGCGAGAAAGCACATGTGGGTACCAAAAGTGGCATTTTAAAAAAATGAAGGTATCTTAAGGAGGACGTTACATTGTGAATACTGATGAGTGCATTCTTCAACGTGCATATTATTTTATATCCGTTGGTCTGCCTCCATAGCTCTGTTATTACTCTCATCATGGTTGTAAATAATTTTTTTATTTTAAATATAAGACTTACTTTATAATATAATTTATGAGATTTTATATGTATGATTTGAGAAACATATAAAATAGACTATTGGTAAAAAAAATTTAATCAAAAATGCATATTTCTCAATCGAATTTGAATTGGCGACAGGAGATAAGAAAGCTGCAAATCAGTGACCAGTATTTTTACGGTTCCCACCTCCCAGCCGTTGTAATGCTTGCAACCACACGTGACTGTCATCAAAACTCTTCGTAAACGATACTCACATGAACTCTAAGATTGATGTGGGCCATCCTACTCTTTGTTTCAATTCTTTTATTATCAATTGAACTCCCCGTTTCTGAACAACAAAAATTAATAATTTAACAAATATTTTCATATCTGCATTTCCTTTAATATTCATCAACAACGTATCAAGAAATCCTGGTTGATGCGGTTTTAAGTTAATTTTTCTTGATGTATTTTTTTTATTCATCATACATAGCTTAAATTTGATGTGGTTTAGTGTTTTATACTCTTCCGGTTTTAAATATAAGATTTATTTTATAATATAAAGTATATTATAAAATGAATATTATATTTAAAATCAAATAGAAATTTTTAAAATTTATTACCACCAACTGCTTGGTTGAGTGATATGCGTGCATATGTGAAGCGTGTGTTTTAGGTTTGGACCTGCCCTCCTGTAATTAAAAAAATAAAAAAAAATATTTATGAATATGTCTTTTAGCCCTTTTTCCCGGAAAAGATGGGCGCGTGGCTGTACATCACATGCGCTGTTTATTCCTGCTTTCCCTGTATGGATAAACTGCGATTATATTCCATTTAAGCATTTAGGAGTGTATTTTTCGCAATAATTTGTTAGCGTCCTCGAGCGGCAAACATCCCCCGAACACAATAGTATTTACCAAAAAGAGCAGTGGCAGGACTTCACTGTCCCACCAATTAATAACAATAATTTGGGTTGTTATAGCAAAGTGAACTAATAATGAAAAGTGATTATTCATATTTGGATGATATTGGGCCTATTTAAAACAGTTTATAAATAGCTTTTCAATAATAATTTACGGAATACGATACAAATATGTGAATAGAATTTTGTCTCGACTTACGTGAAACGTGTTTATAGGAAATTTTTTAAACCCTCCCATTCTTCCAAATAGGCTCATTGACTTGTCCACCCAAGAACCCAAAAAAAAAATAAATCGACATGATGTTATGGACTAAACTGCAATAATATCAGTCATAAGGCACGGAACAGCACTATACAAAAAGAGGACAGTTTTCGAGGGGAAAAAAATACTACTAGTTTTTATTACAAGAGTTTGTTTGATTTTCAATTTAGTATCAAATATAAGATTCAGTCTATTTTGTCTTTCATATTTATTTATTTATTTTCAAAGTGGGCCTTGTAATAGTTGTGCATATTAAATGTTTCATCAAATAGTAATTTTAGCTAGCATACATGATTAGGAATGATATTTTAGAAAAGATAACACTTATTTATAATAAATATCTAACTTAACTAATTTTTTTAAATCCTTTCAAATTAATAATTAGGTATTATATTAAAGACCAGTATATCAATAAGAAGTTTCATCCCATCCAAAAAAAATCTCCTCGTTTAGTGCTCGATTATCAAAATAGTATGTGTAATTCTTAATTACATTGGTGACTGAAGAGTGACGACTTAGTTGAGTCTGTAATTTAAGAACAACGTCCCATGTAATTCAAAGCACAATACAGAGTATATGCTCTTTAAAGTTCCTACCAAATCCTTAACGTCATAACGTGGTGGTGGTCGTCACTGGTTACAACAAAATTTGTCCCTCGTCGATTGGGCCTCTAATGGGCTTTTACGCGTCGATGATACTCTGGGCTAACTCGAGGTCCAATCTTGATTAGGATGTTTCAATTTGTTTTGCCAAATCCCAAAAATTAAAATTAGAAAATTGTTAGCTGAAAGATCATACTTCCTCCTGTCCTTAACATGAGAATTACTTATTTAATTTATACAGATTAAGCAGAAATAATAAATTAATCAATTATAACAAATATGACATAATCTTATCAAAATAATCATAGATAATATTAAATTACATATTAGTTTATAAGCTGCGTTGTTTATGATCAAATATAACCTTTTAACTAGCTTTTGTTTGGAATCAGTTTCGGTGTTCATTGCTGTGATGAAATCAAAACCATTCAAATTCAGTTTTCATGGTCTAAATTTAAAATTTTTAACTACTAATTTTTAAATAAAAAATTCATTTTTTAAAAAACTTATAGTTAGGAGATTTTTTTTTTGGATTATGCACCTATTAAAAGAAAAAAAAATTGAAAAAAAATATTAAATATTGGCCATCCATATTAAATTTGAATGGTTGGGATTTGATGAGTATTATTATTACTGTGATAAGCACTTTTGTATTGGAGACTGAGGGGAGTATTTCTTAAAAGCTTCCCCCTTTTAGAAGAAGACAAACTCGCTTGCTTATGCCCAACAAGGTTGATATTAACAATCAATACCAGTATATCAATAAAGCATCGAAAGGAAAAGTCAAAAGTGAAAAAAAAAATGAATAAATTGCTCACAGCAGAGAATTAAATTTCTGGACTCGCCCAATCATGTATCTGACTCTATACTAACTATATATATGTATGCTATTGGCCTTCCCCTCACCTTATGGTAAAGTTATAAAAACTTGACGTTTAAGAGTTGGTTGAGCATGAAAATTAAAACGCCACATCAAGATTTTGGAGCAATCGTCTGGTGGGATTCCCTTCAACTTTGACTCATCTTCCAGAATCACTTGCTTCACGAACTTCATCGAATTCTGAGAAAATCAGAAAAGAAGCCCGACAATAAGAAAAGGAAGGTGCCAAAATAATTAAAAACAAACAATAAAAATTAAGCGCTTTGTATCTTGGAGTAGAGGGAATCCGCACTACCAGTGAAATAGTGTCCGAGTTCAAAATTCTATGGTCATTGTTCTGATTAGTTCAACAAATCAATTATGCTGTCACTGTGAATCTGATATCTCACGTTTTTTCCTTTTTAAGGCTTCCTTTTATGAAGTTGTTGAAGAATAGCTAAATCTTACCTAAACGTGATCAGTAGTCACTCAAAACTCAAGCAGTAACTAAATGATTACGTTCAACAAACAATAAATATCCCTTTTTTCATAATTCTAATTATAGGGACTACCAGATAATGGTTTGGCTCGGGGTATGCAATATAACTAATTCCACATAGGAGGTGGACAAATAAAAAGATGGAGACGTTTCGTTAAAGAAACGGCTGCCTAAAAATTATAACATGTACCTGCGAGGTGTCTTGAACTGGTGATGCGCGACCCCATCTCTCAGGATCCCAGAGAATGGAACTATTGAATGCCAAACTCGAAATACGAATCTGAGAACTCAACATGTCTGTTTCATTGTTCCTACTCCTCAGATGCCAACCTACGACTTGCGAAGAATCGCATACTGGTCCTTCCATCTTCACTTTCTTCCTATTTGCTCTTACCATTGCCATCGGCCACGTCCCAAACATCCTGATCAGTTCGCAGAAACAACACACGCAAATCACTATATATAAGAACCTCCTCAACAAGTTTAGAAAGCAGAAAAGCGAGGATAAGATGTCATACTCGATATCTCTAAGGTGGTGGAAGAATTCCAGATCATAAGCATTGGCAAGCCCAGCAAAGTGCACGATCCCACTTAGCCTGTGATGCTCGATGTGCTTAAGTGCGAGGTTCCTCTGGTGATTGAGTTCGGCTTCCAAGTCCGTGAAGTTTTCCTTCGAAACCAAATGTCGATACATAATGCCAGTCTTCCTCAGTATCTCCGAAAGTTCTGTGGACCCCGTTTGTGGTTCCACCACAATCCACAGCAATGGCGGGGGAACCAGCTTTATAGTGTGGCCAACTTCCTCAGGTACACCCCTTGAAACCGAAGTTTAGTGCTCGTCGGAGTGACAATAATTAGCAGTCTACGAGGTTTCAACTGGGGCTCTGTTTTTTCACGCAGATTCTTTTTGTGTTTGGGCAATCTGGACATCGCTGGCTCGCCCTCCGACTCGGGAACAATCGAACTTGTGTTGCCATTTACTGTCTGGTGCCCAACTTGCGGAGGCTGTGGCGCGAATTCTGGTCTATTGGAGGTAGCGATCGGGGAAGAGAAGGTTGAAGTCTTACCAGTAGGAGCCAAGCCTGTGAAAAACCCCATTGCGAAACAGAGAGAAAAGTGAATCATGGCTTTCTTCCATATCTGGGATTTCTTCTTGGGTCTTTCTGCAGAAACCATTTTCTGCAAACTCTGGTTCACTCACTCACCACCTGACGCACAATCCTTGGTTAAGAATGTGGAATATAGAGCAGAGAATTTAAAAGCTTAAGAGCAGCCTGTTGAGAAAAAGGAGAGCATACTGGAGGCAGTGGTTGGTGCTGCCAAACAGAATGTGTACAATTTGAAATGGGGGGGGGGGGATTTTCGCTGGTAAGGTATTGCTTCATGTGGATGTCACTTGAAGTAAAAGGAATATGAGAAAAACAGAATGTGAGAAAAGGTTTTGGAAGAGCATGAGTTGCTGTCCATACCAAATAGCAGTTGGGATGGTTCCTATCCATCAATAATTTGTAACCCTTTACGTTTATGGTGGAAGTTTCTTAATTTAAAAAAAAAAAAATCGGAGTTGACCAATATAGTCCAATAAAAAGGAATTATAGAGTATGCTCTGGAATTGTATTGTCACGTGACTGTGATTTTTTTGGGGGGAAAGCATCGGGTTTTTTTAGTGAAAGTTTGGGTATTATATGCTTAGTTATTTACTGCTTAGTGATTAGGGGTGGGTGGGTGAGATTCTGAGATGGAGGCATAATAAATCGTGGTGGGTTTTGATCTCTTTACTCAGATATGTGGGCGTAGTTCTTTCCATCCAATGTCACTCTTCATTGTGGGTTTTGGTTGGGATACCAGCCATCCAGGCTTTTCTCTCTCTTTTCGTTTCCCTTCCAATTGCTGAATTGGGCTAAAACAGGTTGACCATGGGCTGACAGTTGCTTCTACCCAAGGACTGAACAAAGAGAAATATAACTTTTAAGGAAGAATTAGTCGCAATAATTATCAATGGATTTTTTACATTAAGACTTGTTATTGCAGGCTAATTTTTAGTAATTATATTTCTTCGTTGAAACTTCATAGCAATTCTTTCAATTTTTTTAATCCTTAAATTTTTTAAAATTATCAATTCCATTCTTTAATTTTGAATCAAAATAATCTGGATCCTTATAATTTATTGAGTAAAAAATTATGTGAATTTGAGTAGTTTTCAGTCAATAATTTATATACTGAATTATTCTGATAAAATACTACAAGAAGAAGCGGGTTGTTTTAAGTAAAAATGTTATATAAATATTGAGTTGTTTGGAATTAAAGTTGGAGAAACAAATAGTAATCGAAATAAAATTCATGAACCAGAATTATAGTATTTTCCTAAAAAGACTCTTTCACAGCCACTCTCGGTGGTGGATATTTTCCGGCGAGACTCGAACAAATTCCGATAACTCCGTCCCTTCATGACAAGCCCAAGTATCTCCCACATTCATTGTTTGTGGGTCGCTTTGAGTTGGATGCGTCGGTCGGGTCTGATTTGGGAGATTTTTGCCTCAATGAATGAATCGATTTTTTGAGACAAGATTTTCGCCTCTCCAAATATTTTGCCAATATCGATTATTCCATTTCCTCATGGCTTTCGTAATGCCAACTCTCTTTCCTACGCACCGTCGCTGGTGTTGTGGTGATCTCGAACCGACAAGTGGACTTCCTTTATTTTTTCTCTCAACAATGAAATCCAAAAAAATTAAGCAACTTGACATGTGAGGAGTAAAATGAAGCTCTCGTGCTTAACAACTGATGCCAACCTAATTTCAAAATGATTTTATCTCAAAAGTACGTTTGTGCAAGAGAATATAAAATTAGCGAAGGTTTATAATATGAATAACAACTCATTGACTCAGAGAGTAAATACAAGAAGGGAAAAAACTGATTCCCCCTGTGAGAAGACCTCCCTCTTGATAATGGTTGTTCAGTAGGCTCTATGTAACGATTCCCCCGGGGGGGGGGGGGAATAAAAGCTGAATTCCAATGTGCGCAGCTAATCTGTAAGAGGTTAACCAACTAGGCAACGGCGGATTTAGAATGCGTGATTAGTCAAATTAAGAGAGTGTTTAGGTAAAAATTAAACTGTAAAAGTAACTTTATGATGTATAGAATAAGCATATAAAAAGAGTTTTGCCTCAATTTGTATGAAAATATTTTTTAAAAATACCTTTTTGTTTCATCCAAACACTCCTAAGTGTTTGTTAATTATTTGTCTTGTTGGGCTTTTTAGCCAAATTCTTAGTCACATTAGCAAGGGAGGAGTGAGTGTGAACAATTTTGTTTTGCTGCGTATAGATATCTTCTTATTGAAAGTAATCTTATTCGAGATACTGTTGAATACTAAATCTAAGTGTTTTTGTCAACAAGGATTCAAACTTTGGTTTATGATATTGCGAGGAACTGGCCCATTCCACCTGGGGAGTGAAATTTACTTGATCCTAAAAAATGATTATTACTTTTAATTAATCCAGGTGTCATATCGGTGGCTTTTCATTGTTTTTAGAAATTTTTTCAAACAGAAAATAAATACAATAAAATGGTAGTCCCATGGAGCTATTTAATTTAAAATTTTAAATATAGAATATTTGAATTAATCGTCATTGTAATGTTCAAGATTATTTATATAATACTGTTGTGTGCTTGTTTTAGATAAAAATGGAATTGATCTATATGTAAAGTATAACTCCTTATGCTATTTTTTTAAGTTAACACTCTAATTTTTGCAAATAATGTTTTTAATCTTTTTATTTTTTTAAAATTAATCCTATAAGTACAAAGCTTGAAGAAACTTGTTAAAAAACACAATTTGGGTTGCAAATTTCAGTTTCTCTTATAAAATATGAAAGAGGACTTATAGATCATTATCAAATGATAAAAACTTTATTTCTAACTGCTAAGCCGGAAAATGATAAACAGAGAATTGTTAAATCTTAAGAGATAGTTCGTAAAAATGGTAGGAAACAATCTTAAATGGATATATAAAATTTGAAGGTTTTTTTTTTTTGTGGAAAAAAGAAAGAAATGAGCTGTAACATGCATGTGTAAATTAGAGGTAAGTACTTATAAATAATACTCCATCGATCACTTTTTTCAAGACCTTCATATACTAACAAAGCAATTAAGTCCTTTAGGATTTTTTAGTAATAAACAAAACTTGGGAAATTTATTTGGGACTAATTGTGTGCCTCCTTTTTATTTCTCCCTTTTCCCTTTGCGCCCTTTTATTCCTTTTTTCCGTCCCAGCTTAAAAGGTTGGATTTTAATTTTTTTATAGCATGCTTTCTGACATTTTTTTTAAAATCCAAGTCTTGGACTTGGACCCCCTCTCGCCACGGTTCAGCTCAAAGCAATCGCCGATCAGGTGGAAGCTTCACCCTTCTCTCGAATCTTCACAATTTGTGCCCGCCGCATTTTTCTGCCCATATAAATTCGTGTTTTGTTCCCGTGGTTTGACTCTGAATTGGTCCCACACCCCCATTCAATTATCAAAACCTCTGATGCCTCAGATCTGATCAGTTCAACTTCTACGCAAATCCAAGCCCCAGTATCAGCCTTCCGTAACGTTTTCGCTTCTTCACCATGACAACGCCACCGCTCAAGGCCGTGACTCTGACCCATGTTCGGTACCAAAGGGGTGATCAGCTGGGTCACTTTCTGGCCTGGGTGGCGCTAGTCCCGGTCTTCATCAGCTTCGGTGGCTTCGTTTCTCATTTCATCTTTCGTCGCGAGCTCCAGGGAATGTTCTTCGCTCTCGGCCTTCTCATTTCCCAATTCATCAACGAGTTCATCAAGACATCGGTTCAACAAGCGCGTCCCGAGACGTGTGCTTTGCTGGAGATGTGCGATTCACATGGATGGCCCTCGAGTCATTCTCAGTACATGTTCTTCTTTGCCATCTACTTCACTCTCTTGACTAGCAAAGGGATCGGTTTTTGGGATTCGAAGAACAACATGTTCCTGAATTTTATAACATGGTCTCTGGCACTCCTAACCATGTATTCTCGGGTTTATCTGGGTTACCACACGGTGGCTCAGGTTTTTGCTGGAGCTACCTTGGGAATTTTCCTCGGGGCGTCATGGTTTTGGGTCGTTAATTCTATTTTAATTCAGTACTTCCCTGCTATCGAAGAGAGCGCATTTGGAAGGCGGTTCTTTATTAAGGATACTTCCCATATCCATAATGTGTTGAAGTTTGAGTATGACAATGCCAGGGCTGCAAGAGAAAATATGGTGTCCAACTCTAAATCTGACTGATTCTTGGAAGATAAAGAGGTACTTTGGTATACAAGCTTGTGTCCTTTTTCTTCAGTTAAGAGAAAAAAATCAAAGTCCAGGTTTCCTTGCCTTTGCTTTGCTAAGAATGTTGAATTTAGGATGTTTCTGCACGTCTATAATGTTTTGAAGAGACTTTTCATCCCTTCTAATTGATGGACTCGTAAGTTATTGGTGCTATCTTGATCAGGAGATTTGCCAGATGTTCCACTATAGATGAGATGAGTAGTTTGAGCTGGGGATTTTTCTGTTAGCTTTAAAATTCTACTGACTAAGCAGCTTAGTTCATCTTTTGTGCTTTATTTTCTCAGATACCATGCCTCTTGATTTGAGAGTTATTTGTTATTAATTATATGTTTGGATTCAGGAGATTGTGGAATGAAAGGGAAATTAGACTCTCTGTTACGAAATCCACTGACCTCCTGCATCCTGTGGGGGCTGAATAAAATTTAATTCCTTACATAATAAATGTGATCCGAAATATTTAGTCAATCCTTTAATCGGATGGCTTGTGGAATTCTCTAGTGATCACATTTACAGCTTTTGCTGCGTCGCTGTCGAGCATAACATAGCAAAAACCCTTGTCCCAGCAGATATATTTATTTCTGTTTAGTGTAAAGAAACTAGTATTAGGGGCATGCAAAAGTTTCTAGTTTATTTGTTAGGTTTTGACCTCAAGTCTACTTTTCCATTCAATTGTCACCTGGTTCCAGAACAAAAGGCGTGAGTTTAGTTTTAAAATATATTATGCTACCTCCAGTTCTTTTAATTGTCTTTTTTTCCCCTCCCTATTTACATGTCAATTTTAAAAGTTCAAAATAACACTAGTTACTATTTCTCCAATTATACTATTATCTTCACTTCGCTAACTTTAATTATGGGAAGTAAACTGTTTGATACTGGGTGAGATAAGAATATGTCTTCTTCTTTTTTTTGTTTTTGGGACATAGAACTCTCTGAAAATGGCAGTGTGTGTAAAGTCTTTGGAGTCCATGATAGGGAATCTCATTGAGGAAACGGAACTTTATAGATGCTTGTGTACAGGTAGGATGTGGTAAACTATTTATGCTGTGTTCTGTGATGGTTTGGCATATGGGGCCTGTTGTTCGTTCAATTATTGGGAAACTCCTTGGATGACGGTGAAGTATGTCATGCAATTGAGCCCTGCAATTTTGTTTGTGGAACTGGGGATATTTGTTGTAAAAAGTGGGAAAAAGTGGTTCGATTGCGAGAGAACCTTTTATGAAGTGAAGGAAACTGTGAACTAGCACAGCAGCACACAACACCAGAAACGCTTTAATTCATAGAATTTCCATGGTGTGGTCCTGCATGGAAGGAGCCATAATCTTTTTCTTAATTTGACAGCTGCAAGGAAGTTTAGAAGGAAACAACAATAATGACTATCCTGTTCTTTGCCAATGGTTGTCTTGCACTTTGAAATGAACTCTCCCATCCCGTTCGTAGCTGTCCAATTTAGCAGTAAGACTGCTGTGTGACACCTCAAATCTCTATATAAATGCTAACTTCACCCTGCCTCAGCCATCTTATTTCCCAATGTGGTTATGGATGTGGTAATTAATTAACAGTAGCAATAGTTCAAGGAAGGAAAGCATATCTGAGCTTTGATGCGTAGGACGATGGTCTCTTGGTTTATTATTTCCTTGAGCAGCGTTAATAACATCATCATTAGCCCTGTAGATGACATCTTTCCCCTCCTTATTTTTGTTAATTAAGTTTCTATCCAGTGTAAAAAAGGGAAGAAATATTCAAAATCATGTGGTGCATGGAATGGCTTTCTCTATTTTTAGGTTTGCTTATTTTGTTCATGTCGTAATAATTGCATTTCCACTTGTTCCTTTTGCCAGGTTGACTGCTGTCACAGCTCCAAATTTACGTACCAGGATAAGTTTTCGCTGGTGTTGGTGGCATTCTTTAATATTTATCATTTCTTTGGTGTATATCAGTTGAAGCCATAGACTCAGGGGAAATCAAGGGGCATCTTATTCATATTAGTGCGGAGAGCCTCACAGCATACACTATGCTTTCAGAACTTCTATAAAGGCTGGTGTAGATGCTATTCATAGACGCTGGGAATATTTTATCTTGTTTATTAGTTGGGTGGTTTAAGCAAGGTTGAAAACACGATTACGAAGAAAATCCGTAGAGTGATGCTGGGAAGTTGTAACTTTACTTATAATATTGCCTTAATGGAATGTTCACGTGGACAATCTAGTTTTCTTAGGGTCCATTGCTTATAGCATCTATCATTCGCCGTTGCGGTTACGGATGCGTGTGATGTGCTGGTTTTAGTGGTTTTCTCGTTTGTATTGCTGTAAAAAACCAGTCTTTTGCCGAAGGTCGATGCAAACAGTAACGTCCCAAGTTTTAGTTTGTTGGGGGTCTCTATAAGCATTAAGCAAGGCATTTCGGTGCTTATATGATATGTAGATTTAAATACCTGGTGGCAGCTGCAATGCTGAGTATTCTCCTACGGTGATACTGCGCACTCGATCAGGGATATCAAATTTATAGCTTATCAAGGAGCCAAACATGCCCGAATTCATGACTGACACTTGGAACTTCTCTTTTTTCATCGTCCTCTTTTGTTTGTTCTCTTCGGATTTCCATATGGCCTCGGCGTCACGCCTTAACTTACATTGAACTTTTTGTTACCTTTTCAGTAAGAATCGCGAGTCATCATTTATGCCGGGTCACAATCCCATTTAATATAAACCTTTAGATGATGTTTTCAAACCAAATTAGCTATCATATTAATGTATGTTCGGTGGAAAAGTAATGATCCTATTCTGTTATCCTGTCTGGTTAAATGAACATGCGGGTGTTATCTATCTTATAAAAGGGGGAAAAAGATTTGATTCCCATGTGCCAGCCATCCCTCTGTAACTACATGCAGTCTTCGACTAAAAATAGCGGTGTTAGTATCACAGTAAGCAAATTAGATGGTTTATGTACATTTTTTTACACTTTAATTTAATTTCTTGAAACTTGTAACTGAATATGCGTTTCTCTCTTTGACCCATTCATATAATCTAGTGAGCATACTTAATTGGGAAAATCTTTATAAAAAAAAAGACTGTTGAATTTTAAAATTTTAATTCAGTATCGGTTGCTATATTTATAAAAAAAAAAGACTACTCTAAAAAAAATAAATGATAACATATTTTTATAGTAATTTCTGATTTAGAATTTTGAAATTCAACTCTTATTCTTTTAGATTTTTCTTACTTAATTCATATAATACAATCTAGTGAGTGAAAAAAATTTGAAAAATTAATGTTTACAAGATTCAAGTTGTATTGTTTCTACTTTTAAATATAAAAAAAAAAACTAGGCTAAAATTGGAGAAGTGAGCAGTAAGACTTGTACGAGTGAAGGCAATGGAATCCATTGACGGTTAGGCAGGAAAAGAGGAATCAGGGAACGTTCATCGGGGACTGTGGTAGACCAAGAAGCGAAGGCAGCGGAAGGAAGTCCAAAATCGAAATGATCCAACAATGGGAAGAAGCGGGAAGCACGTGACAGCGAAGCTGCCGACATCAAATCACACAACATTGCGCTGCTCTTTTCCCTTCACTCAATGGCATTACCACACTCTACTTCCATGCTTCCCACTTCTCTCCGCTGATGCTATTCCTACCGCCCTCTGCTAATTCTGGGGTCTCTTTCGCCAATCACCAGATCCCTTTTCTTCATTATCACTATGTGGCAGGTTCTCTTAGCTGCTGCTGTTGGCGGATCCACTGGTTTCATCGCTAACCACTTTCTCACTCAAACCAAGCAATGCGCCCATAATCACGACGACTCTGGGATAACATTTGAAAACCCAAATTCTCAGCCTCCTGTAGCTACTGATGGTTGTTCGGGATCTGGAATTGAAACCAACTCAGACACACCAGATGGGATCTTCAGGTTTTCTAGTTCGGAATCTCTGAGGAAACATGGGCTTCGATCTCGGGCCAGTGATTCTCGACAGAAACCCTTGTTCAGGCGCCGACGGTCCAAGGACGGAGTCAAAATTGCAAAGATGGAGCAGAAATGTGAGGTACAGGCGCGATCGGAGCAGAGTAGGGATGGAAAGCGATTATCTTTTTGCTTGAAGAGGAGGAAGACGATCAAGAACGTAGCCGGGAAAACTGGATTTTGTTCTTCCAAAGGTATGATTATTCTTTTCCTCGTTGATGATTTTTCGCCTTTTGGCAAAAATATGGTGGGTTTAGGGAGATGTTACCTATCAATGCTGTCTGTTTATGCTATCATACCACCAGTTATTTGCTAGGAATTTTTCGCTTTCAATATTTTTGCTCTTCCATTTAAAATCTTAATTTCGTGTCTATTGTGAATCTTGCTGTTCACTTCTTTTCTTCGTTGAAACCAGACGTTTCGTACGTGATTGATTGTTAGCTGCTGTATGATAACTCATGCTTGCAGCTTATTGCTGTTTTTTTTTTTTTTTAATCCCTTTTTCAATGGATGCTTTTAGGCTTCCTGGAGTTACCGAGACACGCGGCATTGTTCTTTTAGATGTTATTTGTTCCTTTTTCTCCATAAGATCAGACTCTAATTCTCTTAATATAAATTTGAATTTTCCTTTTGCAAAATAAAATGAACTTGATGTCATGTTGTACTGCTTCAGATGGCTCTTTATTTGGTTGGGGACTGGGCTTTGGAATCATGTATATGATGTCAACTGGAAAATCTGAGATCAGTAAGGTGAACAAGACTATGGATGAGACGGCTAAAGCAGTTCAGGAATTAAAATCTGAGCTCCACAGAAGAAGATCATCACGTACGCGGAAAATTTCAGATTCTGTTGACCATAATGACTCGCCCAAGTTAAGTGATCGGAATGAAATGATGCGGAGGAAGACAAGCAGTGAGGTTAGACACACTGATGCCAGAATTCCGAGTCTTCCTGCTGCAAGTGATGATGGTGAATGTGGAAGCAGTGCTCTTACTGAAGAGTCAGGTCAACCAGTTCCGGAAATGGATCAACTGGAAGCAGAACTTGAGCTTGAACTTCAAAAGCTTCCTGGCTGTACTCTTGACAGTCCTTCCCTTGAAGAAATGAGACCCAAACTGCACGAGGTGAATTTCTTGGATATCCTGGCACTGGTCTCATTCATGAACATATTCCTCCTATTTCCTTGCAGTATTCATTTCTCTCAGCTTTAGACGAGATAATTATGTTCCCAGATCCTATGGGATAATTTTTTCCTTTTCCAGAACTACTTTGGCTTTTCTGCCGTGGGTAATTTGTGCTGCTTTAGTTTTTTGCTCTTTTATCTTCCGTGGTTCAATGTGGGTTTGACAGAAATTCCATTGCAGCTCCAAGTTGGGGATGATGGGTGTGATGGAACTGAATTCCAGGGAGTATTAGCACCTGAATTGAGTCAGAGACTAAACCACTTGCTGATAGAACGGCAGGAAGACCAGATTGCAGAGCTGGAATCTGAACTGGATTTAGCTCAGTCGAAACTCCATGAGAAGGAAGCTGAACTCCAGGCACTGAAGGACACTGTCAGACGCCTTTCTGAGATATCTCTATCCACGCTTTCAGGCACTGCTATCTTTCGTTTATAATTTGCCTTATTTCCTTAGCAAATTGAAGCATCTTTAGTGGATGTTGTCTCAGTAATATTTGTCATTGTGTTTTGTGTCTACAGATGATGAAACTGATGCTGGCTGTGATAAAAAAGGAAGCAGCGTTAGAGGCGCCAACAACATGGACTGTGCGTCAAAGCAATGCGTGGCTGGGGTCAAAAGACCTATTGATTCTGAGGCATGTGCATATTATTACCTGAAATGACTCCGTTCGTGGTGGGATATGTAGGAGCAATTGAAAGGACATGTAGTCTAAGTAAGTAAGTGACTTGTAGTTGACGATTATTCTGTCTGGATGGCCTTTCTGAGGATAAAAGGGGGCCTGCCTGGCTAAGTTTTAGAGAGCAGAATTGCAAGAAATAATATACCATAACCCTCGTCGAGAAGCAGAGAATGGAGGAAAACTGGGGTTTTAAGAAGGGGCAGCTATCTAGATTGGACCCAATGGTTGGGCCTTGTTTGTATATTCCTTTGATAGATATTTATATTTATTATAAATGCAAAATTCTAGCAGTCTCGTATACTGATAGCTTCGTAGAACAGTAAAATGTAACGGTGACCCATTTTCACAATATAAAGTTGCAACCCATATAATATGTGGATTAGACATTAAAAATTGATTTATCTGACGATTCATATGGCCTTTTTACTTTATAGGACTTCCAATAGTGTTTGATAACACGATGGAAAGCCACGTTATCACTTATCAGACATGTAAAACTCATATTTTCAATCTTGTTGATTGTGAAGCCAGTTGCCAGAGAACTGTTTGCTTCTTGTTCTCTTGCGTGTGATCACTAACTGCTTCCTTCACTTGTACAGGCACCCCATCACTATAATTCACCTTAAAACACCGATAAAATATCTTTGATTATATTTGCTACGCATCTTATTGAATAAAAAAAAAGCAGTAAATAAAAATAGCATTTGTATTTTTCCATTAAAAGAGTGTTTAGGTAACTTTAAAAGTGCTTTTAAAATGTATTTTTTCTCAAATCAAGAAAAGCTCTTTTATATATTGTAAAATTATTTTTAAAATTATGATTTGGTTTCCATCCAAACATCTAGTAAGTTAAATTAACATTACACTAAAAAAGTTAAAATTATCTTAATTTTGGTACATTCTGTTTCCCTCGATTTTTGGAAGCCTGCCAAAGTTAGCTCAACATTTCTGAGCCACTCACTTGATTTGGGCCTTAATTTCTCTTATGCTTAGGCTCGGTTTTCTGTTCTGGAAGAACGTGATTTGTGATGTTGGACGAGAGGGAAAAAAACAGACACAAACCTCCAAAATAACGTCATTTGATTTGGCATTTGAAAGGAATTAGGAAGGCTGTATTGCATGAATTCAGCCATTTTGATCTGACGTGAGGACACTGACATGATTTCTCCGTTATGCTTTGGGTATCATCAATTGTTGGATAAAAGGTTAAGCAACCTATTCTAACAACTTGTGATCACCAAGACAACATCTGACATTCAAGTTCAGACATCATTATTCCATGTTGATGAAGCATTCCTCTCATATAACTCATGTACTCTGCTAGTCGGAATGGCGTGTCATTGCTTTGGAGCTTGGGCCAATATGATAGAGAAAGGAGTGAAGGAGGCAAAGAGCGGTAAATAGAAGGCGGAGGGGAATGAAGTAACAGTAACTTTGATTGATTGCTTCGCAGTTTGGACACTATTCAGTGCCCATCAATCAATCACCAATGAACGGCCGCGCCTCTTTGATTCAATGCCACACTCAATCACTCCCATCATATTAACTAGTTCCTTGGACAAATCCCCATCTCTTTTGCTAAATCACACTCCCTTCTTGCAAAGGAATCCTCTTTTATTATGTATATTAGGGTTATATTACGGTGGCCAGGCCTCACGAAATTTTAGAAGATTTCTTACATTTTTCTTAATATTTTATATAAATTGAGTATTGATAACATTATGGAAAAATACGATAAAGTACCAGTTAAATTTTAAAATGGTAAATAAGTAATTTTGATATATTTTAATAGGAGTGTGCATGGACCATATTGGATCGGGTTTGTTATCAACCTGAAGTCTAATTCAGCAAAGATCTTAGGCTAAAAAAATAACTCAAAGTCTGGTCTAGTTTAGCACCAACCTGAGGTCGAGTTAGACTGGATTTGATCCTCTAGAGTGTCTAGACCAGACCTCAATTTATTTTTTTAAAAAAAATTTCTTCAATAAGAAGCAAGATTGTAATTTACTATATAAAATTTGTACATATTTTGATCCAAACTTTATCAAATTTGATCATTCTCTTTCAATTTCTCAATAATGTCATGTTTTATTTAGTAATCATCATTAATATAGATATTATATTGCAGAAAATATATACACGTGCTCATTACTTAGAAAGTCAATAGATAAATCTTGAATAGACAAAAAATCTTATGTAGAATAATTAAAACAAATTAAAATTATATAAATAATAGTTAAAAAATTTTTAAAAAGGGGTTAGACTGGACTGAACCAACTAGTTTAAGGGGCCAGTCCCTAGTTTAGTCTAGGCTGATGAGACCAGTCTGGTTCAATCTGGTCCAATCTTGTTTCAGGCCTATTTTTTCTGGACCGGACTAGATCAGGTTGAAATTTTAAGGGTGTATGTATAATTATTACAAATACAATCAAAACCATTATTAGAGTCAACATTACCTTTTTATCTTTTTAAAATTTAATAGGTAATTTTTTGTTATTTTTTCTAAAATTAATAATTTTGAGGGTGTATGTATTACTTTGACAGATTCTATGCATTCCCCAGGCCTATCACGCATATGACCAAATATGCTTTGTTTTTTTTGTTGCGATTTTTGTTATTATAAAGTTTTCTGGCCAATCTAAGTTACCCATACTGAGAGATACTAATTTGAATTAAATTAACATAAGCAATATGTATAAGAAACATTTTAAAAAATGATTATACTTTTGGAAAGAAACTAAATCCCTAGGGAGATAATATACAGTTAAACATTAGTTAAAGGATAAAAAATGAGAGGAATAAAAGAGGGGAGGGCAAAACCGAGGAGAAACGAACAAACTGGAAATCATAGAGGGAACCACCCACCCGTGCAACGGCGAAATAAAAATAAGAGACTCGTAACTCCATCCCAACAAATATTTGCGGAAGCTTCTTCCCTAAAAATTATGTCATAACTCCCCTCCTCCTCCACCATTATCTTCTTCTTCTTCTGCCTTTCACTGCCCAACATCCTCTTCCTTGGCTCTCTTCCCTCCGAAACACCTTTCGTCGTCGTCCCCTCTTTAATTTCTTCTATTGCCCCACTGCCGCCATGAATATGAAGTCTTCTTCCAAACCCATTTCCAGTCCCGGTCGGCCCGATAAGTTCCCTCCACCTCTGATGCGATTCTTAAGAACCAACGTCGCCAGTCGGAGCCGAGGCAGGTCAAGGTCAAGCCCCATGTTCGTCAGGAAAAGGACCACTGCCATTGATTCTCAAGAACCTTCTTCCCCCAAGGTCACCTGCATGGGCCAAGTCCGAGTTAGACGTTCCTCCAAACATCATCATGCCGCCGCTAAACGGAATCGAAATAACGGCGACACGAGTCCCACCAGATGCAGCCGCCGCTGCTGGTGGTTCCGGGATGGTCTCTGTTGCTGCCGTCTCGCCGCTAAAATCAGGCCCAGCTCCTGCCACTGCCACTGCCCCTCCAAGCCCCTTTGGCCCAACTGTAGCTTCTTATTCAGTTTTCGAAGTAAAAGAACTAAGGTGAGACAAGATTCAGCTATAAGTCAATTGAATCTCAGGGAGAGGTACAATGAAGAGACGCAGCATGGAGATTACGAATTAGAGGAAGAGGGATTCCAAGAACGAGCTGACGCGAATGCGAATGAGGATGTTCCTGTGCCGACCACGCCACCCAAAAACGCCTTGCTATTGACTAGATGTAGATCAGCCCCATACAGATCTTCATCTTTGGCTTCTAGGTTCTGGGGTTCGCCATTGGATAATGAAGAAACAGAGGAGGGGCAGAAAACAGAGCAGCAAAATGGACAGCAGACCGAACACGAGAAAACTACCTCCCAGATAGAATCAGTTTCAGATAAAGAAGGGAGATTGGATCCGAGAGCAGAGGAAGAGCCTGGGTTTTTCAAAGGGCTTGAAGATACAGTCAAAGAGAGAATTATCAAATCCGAAAACGCTCGAGACTTGAAGAGGTGGGATGGAGGGGGAGACTCTGCACGTCCTCTCATACTCACAAGGTGCAAATCGGAGCCGGCAAGGACCTCTCAGAAACTTGATCCTGAGATAAATTTCTGGAAAAAGAGAAGGCTGGGTTTGGCTGGTTCAAGCTCGCCGCATTATTTGTAATTAACCAATTCCCAACTCCATTACTCTGCATATAACTTGTTTTAATTTAGTTTCCCATGATGGTCACTAGCTGTAGATGAGTACATAATAGTCATAAAAAGTCGTCTTCCCCTGATACAGTCACTGTTCGGACATCTGGGGCTGTACGAGAGAATCTCCATAGCTCTGTGAGTGACATCAAAAGGGCAAATTTCATCAGGAGTACATAGAAAGAAAAAACACAGAAATGGTTGTAGCGGGTGTGAATTCATAACATTTCATATCATAAACTGTGTCAGTCAGGGGTGTGGAGGTAACCGTACTTGACTGTGTTTGTAGAGAAGAAACTAAAACGATGTTGCGAAAATAAAGAACGTCTCTTGCTGATCTCTGGTTTTGCTTTTTATCTGCATTTTTTTGTGTTGGTTTGTCCAACGGTTCATGTCATCGAACTTCGTCCATTTCAAAAGTACCTTTGGATCCTCTGACCCACTTTCCCCACCCGGTGGTGTAAACGGGGACTGCAAACACAGTTACTTTATTGTATGTTTATTGCTTTTGTGACTCTGAGGCCAGCCGCTTTTCAATCTTCCGTGATCTCAGGTGTACATTTGCTTTAGTTAATATTAAATGCGTGTTTGGCATAACATTTATCCAAAGCTCTGTAGTTTTCAACTCATTATAGTTTAGACCAAATTTCCTTTCCCATTGATCACTGCACATGTTTGTACCTGAGTCCAACTAGGGTGAGATCCAGCAATGGACTTGAAAATTTTAAAAAACCATAACAAACTAAAACAATATGAAACGGTCAAACGAGGGCAAGTAAGTGACGTACTTCTCCTTCGGGCTTCGGGTTTCAAATATACTTGGCGGCGTGTTTTGCTATGAGAGCCAGTGATCTAAGGAGTAAAATAGCACTTCTACTGTAGCTAAGGTAGATCAAATTTGAGAGTTGATATTGATTCCATGTATAGGATCTATTTTATATGTTTATCATTTTTTTTAAATTAACTTATTAATATTTCTTTAGTAATAATCAAGTCGAAGATAAATAGTGAATGAAATAAAAAAGATGATTAGAATGTTTTAGGAAAAAAAACATGTCATATTAACAAAATTAACTAACATTTATAATCTATTCAAATTAATTAATTAGGTCTTATATTAATTATTGAAAGAGTATAATATAAAATTTGTCAGTTAGAGCAGGAAAAATAAGTAAAAGGAGTGATTATTAAATTATGCGGGTACCATATTCCGTGGTCCATAGTGTGTTATAAATGCACGTGAGAGAGGAGAGGGTTGGGTTTGATGGAATTGTTGAGATGGGGAAGAGTCAATGGCATGTGACGCCGCGTGACAAAGCATTTATAACAGCATGAAGAAGCGACAGCAAAATTGATAATTACAAGTTGGTTTCACAAACGGGTGGTCCATTTTTTTGTCCATCTCAGATCTCTACGCTCTCTCATATCCGCTCGCCATGCACCGAATCATCCAGCCACTCAACTCAATGCTTGGGTATGACAAACTTATGTTTTACTGATTCACTCTCCTTTTACCCTTAATTTGCTCTGTTACATCTCATAATCCTAAAAGTCAAAAGAACATTTACACAATGATTTCACTACACTAGTTGCTGTTTTGTTCATCGCACACTCCATTTTTTGCCCAGGGCGTTCAGTAAATCCAGAAATGAACGACTAAGTTAACTTGCTCCTACCTTTTATTTATTGTTAGCTAATGCCTTAAGTAACCCAGTATTACATGCATATTACTCAATTACTGGGACCTTGTACCCCTGCAGCCACAACGGGCCACGAGTCAAATGGTCTGTGCTCCATTTTGGCATACCTCGAGAGCCCAATGGGCCTGATCAGTGTGATACAGAAATCAGATTTTTTTTTCGGTGAAAGGGTGCACCACCAACTCTTCTTCTAAAAAACAACTAGAAAAAATAATCACAATTGAAGTGACAATATGTTATCAATTCCTATAGAGATGTCATTTCATTTAGGCTTTGGGAAATATGTGTTTTGTATAGGAGTCGAAATGTAAGCTTTAGGGGCTGAACAAAAGGGGTGGCCATCATAAATGCTCAAAGTCTTCAAACTTTTGGGTTGTTGCCAGGTGAGTGAGTCATTCTGGACCCATATATGCCACTTGCCACCGAAATGGCATCACGTGCCTGTCCTCTCGAGGCTCTCAGATTCATCAGAACATTATTTGCTGCCTCTCCCACACACTCCTCCAATTATATGTCGTGGGTTGCTTGCAACATGCTTCCATCACTAAAGATGCATCATTTCACCTCTTCACATTGCTCAGTTTTAGTTGTAAACCAACACACAACCTCCGTAACACTAAAATGGACCAACGATTGAATCAACATGCTTGGAAACAAAAGTAAACAACTAAACATATGAACTCGTGAGGACTGAGGAGAAGAAAGCTTGAGGGGTAATTGTGTGTGCGCGGGCGCGCTGTCCCTCCGTAGGGCAGTTGCAGAGTTATAGTTAAAGGCACATGCAAATGTTGGGCCCATCACAGAGATGAGAGTGAGGGGCAAATGCATGTTATTGGAACCAGCTCCACCTGCTAACTTGTTGCTGTGTGGAAGGCGACCCTTTGATGCTCAAACTCGTATATTTAAACATATCAAAGTGAAGGGCGTGGGCCATCCCAGCGTTAATTGAACCCTTTTCTTCTTGTTTTATAGTGCTTATAAATCATCCAGGGATCGTCACAGTCCTCAGCAAAGTTGGGAATATGGATCTCAGGTCTAGCTTCTTCCTCTTTCTCGTTCTTTCTCTCCACTGCTTCCCCGGAGGTTTGTGTCTTTCTCTCTTCTAATCAGCTACATGCATATATATTTGTTTTGTGGTGGTGGGGTTTAATTAGAATTTGGCGTGCGTAATAGGGAGATCATGGCGAGTACTGGATTCAGAAATATCAGAGGAGACGTATGAGATTGATTATAGAGGCCCAGAGACGCACTCCTCTATTCCTCCACCTCATCCTTCCCACTCTTCCCCTTCTATTCAAGGCAAGTCTCCTTCCAAATATATCATCATGTCTGTGTTCGAAAATACATGTTGTCTTTTTTCAAGTATATATTGTGTATGTCAACTTATTTACAGAAAGTCTGGATTAGGATTACAAGATGTCGTTAGAAAGGATGGCATCAAGCCTTCTTTCCTCTCTACTGTTAATTCTCTCCCTCTCCAGGTAAAGAAAATCCGAAGATGAAGAAGCCTCATAAGTGAGCTAGAGTTTGTATCGTCAAACAGAAAGAACAACCTTTGACAGGTTAATGATGTGTTATGGAGGAGAATTGTAATCAGCTGAATTTTTTTTTTTTTTTTAAAAAGGGGATGTGGATGGAGCGGTGAGGTGTGGGTTTGTACTTTGTACTGAAATGCAAGAGAAGGCACAATTATCAGGAACAGATGTACCATTTTTTGTCTTTGAATATGAAAGGGATCTATCTTTTGATGTTATCTTTCTCCCACTCATAAAATCCAGCCTCTTTTGGAGCAGTTACTTCTATAATAATTTTTCTTCCTTGCTAAAGTATAGGCATCTTTTTATCAGAGACAATCCTATTCGAGATATTATTAGATACTAAATGTGAACACTTCTCCTAATGGGAATTTGAATCTTAGCTCCCAACATCGTGAGGAACTAACTCTTTCCGCTAAACCTAACCCCCATGAGTTACTTTTACAATAGTTGCTTTTGTCTTGCAAGTTGTAAAATTTAATTTTAGCCCAATGCATGATGTAACTTTAGCACTCACAAACCATATAAATAAAGGAGAAAATAATTAAGCATATTTTGATCGGGTTATAGTAAAAAGTAAAAAATTAGTATTGCCTCTTTTCCGTCTGTCTAAAATTAAAGAAAAGTTTAAAAGAATTTATAAAAGTGAAGGCGGATGAATTAAATTTGGGCAATGGTAGAGAATAAAAGGGAAGAAAATCGGTTACAGGCGATTGGATGCGGGTTGCTTCCAATCACATTCATTGGTTGGTCTCCTCTCTGGTCTCATTTACCATATCCTTCTTTTTCTCCTCTTCAATTCTCCTTCACCAAGTCCACGCATTTCAAATTTCCCAATTCCGCAATGGGTTTGAAGGATAATCGCGATGAGGAGGCCACTCCTCTTGTTCCCCAGTTTCAACATGCTGACAACAAGCCTAAAACGCCTCCGTTGTTACCGGAGCTGCCGGCGGCTCTCAAGTCTCCGCCGCCCCTGGAATCTCCTACTGCTAATGAATATGGTTGGACCGCCGACGGCCTTCCCTTTGTACATGGCAGTGCGTTGGGCGAGCCCATAGGCCGAGCTCAGTGGAACTCCAGCATTTGCGCTTGCCTCGGCCGCAACGATGAGTTTTGCAGCAGCGATCTTGAAGTTTGTGAGTCTCTTTCTCGCTGTTCATAATTTCTTACGTCTTCGGTTTCAGAAAAATTTGAGATGTGAGCTTTGTATCATATCAGAATACTTATATTTATGTGGGCTGATGCTGTATGAGCTAACTTCGGTTCGATTTTTATTTATGATTGGCGAGCCTCTTATGATCGCTCTTTCAAATGAATGAGATTGATTAAGAGCAAGAATGTATAATTTAATAGAATCAAGGAAACGGAAAAGAAAAAGAAACAGTCCCTTGTCTCATTATTTTTCTCTGCTATTTTGTGAACAAAAAAGTGCCTGACATTTTGGGTTTTCTTTCTTATTGAAGCTAATATGTAAATAAATCAGTAAATGGGTTATCTTTTCCTATAACGTGATTTCAAATACGTCTTCTTTGTTTGACTGTACATTTTTTCTTGCTTATGGGTGGTGATATCTCATGCGATTTATTTAGTGCCACTTTTGTGACTTAGAAGACTTTGTGGATCTTGAATTCTTTTTTCTATTCGATTTGTTTTTCTCCTTAAGATATTGATTTCTCAAGACGTTTTTAATTTTTCTTATGCTCAAACTCATGACACGGAGGGAATAGGCCTTCTTGGGAGCGTGGCTCCATGTGTGCTCTACGGAAGCAATGTCGAGCGACTTGGATCTGCTCCTGGAACATATGCCAACCACTGCTTGCCTTATTCTGGTCTGTATATATTTGGGAAATCCTTTTTTGGGTGCAATTGTCTTGCTCCTTGGTTTTCCTATCCCAGCCGTACTGCCATTCGTCGCAAGTTCAATTTAGAGGCAAGTTGTTTCCTTATTCTTTCCTCCACATGTTATCTGGTGATCATATTTCCGTTTGGCTAAGGTGGGCGTAAACTCACTAATTTTGGATTAAGTGGGCAACTTTTCTACTTGTGTGTGTAGATCCCGCGGAATCAGTTTTTGTTGTGCTTCAAGTTTGTTCATCTAAACGGGAGATGTTTTCAATATTAATTGTGCATTGCTTCCATTTACACGAGCTATTATAGTTTGCTCACTCACGAGACACGGAGCTATGCTTCACATGCGTCTGTCTGTTCAGATTCTGAAGACATGAAAAATCCAAAACCAAGAAACTCGTATATGTGTCACAAATTCCCCTTAAACGCATATAACTAATTGCATATTAGATTGTGAAGTAATTCTCCTATATGTGTGACGAACATTCGCATCTTTATGCTGCCACATGACGAATGGATTAAAATATGTAAATATCAGGGAACTTGCGAGGCACTGAATAGGTCATGTGGGTGCTGCGGAAGCTTTGTGATGGACGAAGCGCAGCTGGAACAGTACGAGACAGCGTGTGACTTTGCAACACATGTGATCTGTCATTCGTGTGCTCTTTGCCAAGAAGCTCGGGAGCTGCGTCGCAGGCTGCCTCATCCGGGCTTCAATACCAAACCAGTGCTTCTTATGCTTCCCCCTGTAGAGCAGACCATGGGGCGTGGGGCTTGATATTATTCTTCCTCAACTTCCCTGTGTTTTGTTCTTCTCTCGTGTTTCTGCGGTCTCCGGGGAATTTGATCTCGGATAACTTTGTTGAGCCTTTTACCTCGTCTCGTGAATATGGTCTCAATACCAACATAGATGTCATGTACTTGGATAGCGTCTTCGTTGTGCAACACGAGACACCTTTTTTTTTTTTTTTTTTGCGTTTTGCTGTATTTTGAGATCGGAGATATGTTGGATATATGATATATATTTGACTGATAAATGGATATAGACTATTTTACTATTTTTCTTCCCAAATCAGCTGTTGGGAATGAAAATCTTTTATATCTTTTAAGTTTCTGGAGATTTCCATTGTAAGTGGGAATTCGGATACACTGTTGGTGGAAAATAGCGGCACCATGTTGCTGATTCCCAATCATGCTTTTTTTTTGGGATATAAAGGCAAATGATATTAATAAAAAAGTAAACATTACAAGTCTTAACTAATAATGGACACCAGAGAAAGAATTAATAATAACTTCAACATTTGTATACTTGTATGTACGAGAAAATAAGGGCAAGAAGGAAAAGATGTCCTCTGTAATGACGTTTCCTGATCCAACTTAGCTGCTTGTAAGACAAGTAACCTGCTTCGCAATGACCATAACGATCATTCTACAATCATACATCTGAACGGTCCGAAATTTTTATTTCAACTTTATCTTAATTTTATTATTGTCTCTCAAGGCTAACATTTGATAGATTATTTATTTATTTTTCTTTCTCTTTTTAAAATAAAAAATATTAAAATGAATATAATCAATATAATATACATTAAAATTTTACCATCCAAATAAATAAATTCTGAATGACTTGAGGGTTTTGGATTAAATTAAAAATCACTTTTAAAAATTCAAACTCTTCCTAATATATACTAATTTCATATACCATAAAATCACTTTTAAAATCATAACTTGGTTCGACTATCCAACCCTTCATTCAACCCTTCCTACATCCAACTTTCTTCCTATTAACCCAATTTCTAATTCATCGCTTCATCACCCAAAAATCACATAGTTATCCCCTTCAGGGTGACTTCGCTCAAGCAAATTTTGCATGACGTTCGCTTAAGTCATACAGATAGCGGCAGCCTAAAGTATCCTTAAGAACGGGAAAGACGCATCAAGAAGCTCAACACAGAGATCCAAAATACTTGAGCAGTTTGACATGCTCACATGTATGTTTCTATCAGAGAGGCAACAAAAACGAAGCGGGACGCTACTCACAGCCCGTGAACTCCTCAAAAAATGCTGAGATGAACCGTTCGCTTCATAATATTACTCAAATACTAGTTTATCTGGCCAAGTTCAAATTCACTAAAAATACAGATGGACAAGATAAAATTAGCATACTAACGATCATAGAAAGAGAAAATTTTTCAGAAGAGTACACATTAACAACACACACAGCATACAGTGAATACCAAATCTCTACTCTCCAGGTGCAGAAACGCCTTGCTTCAGTCTCTCCCTCTTCATCTTCTTCTTTGAGACTGGCTTCTTTTTTCGAGGAGGAAGGGTTCTCTGCGCATACAGGTAAAGGGCATAATTTCCAATGAGGAATGTCAATAGCAGCCCTCCAACAACCAGGAGAACTATTAACCCTGGATTGAATCCTTTGGCTTCAGAATTCTTAATCACATCTCCCTAAATGACATGATAGGAAAAACACATAAGAAAGAAATCAACAAGAAGAAACTACGAAATTAATGCACACAGATAAAAATAATAGACAACTAATTCACCACTTACAATTCTTGAACACCATTATAGCCGGAATACATATCAACTACAGCTTTGATCAAGGTGGGGACTCCATTACTTTTCTTTTCTTTTTCCTTTTTCTTTCTTTTCTTTTCTTCTCTCTTTTTTTTTTGGGGGCGGGGGTGTTGGGGAATGTCCGAAAGAAAGCCCACTTTATATGACATGGCACAAAAATGTCTATACTGAAGATTAATAATGTAAGAAAAACATGGCCTTCGTTAACATGCAAATGCTGTCACAATGAAATGGAAGATATTTAATCTAGAATTTCACCTACAGAGCGTAATTTCCAGGACCAATGGACCATTATTTTCCAAATTTAGTGCCGAACAATCCCTTAAATTTTGTTACATATGAAAGCGCTTCTCCTTGAATTTCTTACCAAACTCCTATAGCAATTTTCAACACACAAGAACTGTAGTTGATTTCTTATCACTGAATTTGTTGTCAGAGCATGACTATGGCCAGGCCCTACTTCTCCATCATCTTAACCATGTGAGCATCAAGCCGATATATTTGCATTAGTCTTATTAATCATACAGTGAATTAAAGGAATTGTGCTGTACGCAACACCTCAAGTGGACTCCGACATTTCAAACCATAGCTTAAACACTATGCACGAAACTTCAAATAAAGATCAAATCGTTAGGGCTGTAGATATCACTACTCCGTTAAAATTTGAACAAGAACACCTATATCAATATCGTTGTTTAAAAAAAAAAATTTGAAAATATCATGCCTAAATGATATTGACCCCATAGCAGAATAATTCAAACGAATCAAGAAAGCCTTTTTTATTAAATACATGGAGACACAATAAAATTCTCTCTTAAGATAGGCGAAAAGCACAGGCGTGAATGAAAAAACCAATATTTTCTCATGTAAAAAACTAACAGTCAATGTCAAAATAAATGTCGCATTTTGGCCTTTGTTTGTGAGGAAAATTTGTTGGCCATTGCAAGAAAAACTAAATTGCCCTTCAAACTCCATTACGAATTCGAAGATCTGAGCTGTAAAGAACACGCCCACTCTCATGCATGGCATGATCTATTCCAATTCTTAGCAAAAGAGGATTTCAGGGGTCGGCAAGGGACGTAATTTATAACAATAAATAAATACATATAACGATTACACCACAAGAATATATGGATCATCCAAAGTATAAACTCATTGGCACAAGACAATTATCGCTCAAACGTGTCATTTACAGATCTAAATGATATAACATGCGATCGTGAAAGAAGCAAAGGATGAAAACGAAGGGAAGACAGAGATCAATACCACGCGATCGAAAGAAGGAGGAACTTGATCAGAAAAATCAAAGTCATCGGCCATGGCTGCCGCGCAAAATCTAACAGATCCACCCGCTTCGCGAGTGCCTGGTTTTCACAGCGAAATGAGAAGATTCCAGAAGAGAGGCAGATCGCTAACGCCGTAATTATATAGCGCTTCAAAACGTTTATTGGTCCCCCACCGCGCGGGGTTAAGGGTGTGGTTTGGTTGGGGGGAGGGAGGGAAAATGAACCCCTCCCTCATTTGGTTAAAATTTTGGAGGGGAGGGGAGCTAAATGTCCCCTCCCCTCCCTACTCCCCCCCATAATGTCCCCTCCCCTCCCCTCCTCCCCCCCCATAATGTCCCCTCCTCTCCTTCCCTCCCCCCATTTTGGCTCCCCTCCAATTGGGGGTTTTTGGAGGGGAGCCAAAATTTTGGACTATTATGCCCTTATGATTTTTTTAATATTCCACTTCTACCCATAAAATAATTATTATAATATTTTTTCAATAAAAAATAATTATCCTAAGTAAAAAAATAAAAAATATACATTATTATAATTAAAAATATTTTAAAAATTATTTAAAAATAAAAATTATTTAAATAAAAATTATAATATTATAAAATTAATTGTTTTTATAAATATATTATTTATTAAATATATTTTAAAGCTGAAAAAAAGATAGCCTAAAGAAAATAAAATTTCATTTTTCTTAGAGCATATAAAATTTGTTAATTTTGATTATTTTAAATATATTATTATATTAATTAGAATGAAAAATTACTATACCAATTTTTTAATACACATATTAACATGATAAGACTGAATTTTGATTAAATTATATAATTTAAATTAAGATGTAAATTAATTTATATAATATATCAATAAAAACATAAACTATATATAAGGGTAAAATGGTAAATTGATTATTCTATCCCTCCCCTCCCCTCCTTGAACCAAACAAGAGATCATTAAATACCCTCCCCTCCCCCTTTTTAATCAAACCAAACACGTGAGGATGAAACTCCCCTCCCCTCCCCTACCTCTCCCTCTCCTCTCCCCTCCCCTCAAACCAAACAGGCCCTAAGTAACGAGACAAAATTCCTTTTTTTCTTTTTTCTTTTTTTTGAAGAAAAGTCAGCAAAACAAGCAAAACATATGCGTATTCATAATTTATAAAATTAATAATCGAAATAAAATAACACGAAATTTTGACGTAAAGTATTTTTGACATCTGAACATAATGTGTATAAACATACACAAGACAAGATGGAAAATTTAAAAAGAAAAACAGCATTACTTGTAAATTAAAGACATCCTTATGAAAATATATAAAAATTTCACAGAATAAAAAAATGAGGAAATATATAAAAATTAATCTTATTTGTTATTTTTTTTTAAAAACAGATCATTTTTTACAAATAATTTAACTGAAAATTAATTATTAAAAAAGTTATTTTAATTTTAATTTTAAAAAATAAAAATATTTTAAAAATGAGAAATCAAACAGGCCATGGTTTCGGATGGTTGGGCCCCTAGTAAATGAAAAGAAAGGGGGGAAACGTTGGGGCTTGGGGCGGGGGAATTTGGAGCCCGAGAAAACCACTTGCATTGGGATGCGAGTACCAAACCGCTCATTTTGGTTCGATTTATTGCAGTAGTTTTTCTCAAAGGAAACAATGTCATGCATGTAAAACAAAGATGCTTTACCACCTGAAAAGTCAGTGAAAGCTGGATGTCACCAGCCGACGCACTCATTTCAGAAACCCAAAAAGTTTGCTCCAGAGAGACGTTGCTCCCAGATTATTCTGATTAAATTAACAACTAATTACACACGCAATTGTCCCTCACTTTAATAACATTATCGTCACATACATATATTATGATCCGTTGCAATATGGAATTGTTATTATTAGAGACAAAACTTCCAACATCAACATCATGGTTCAGCTGTCCCCAACCAGTGATGCAACTCTGTCAAAGCCCAAGTATGAACGGAGAAAACTCCCTCTTACTCCTCCTCTCATGCTTCAACCAAACTTTCCCCTCGAACTCTTCCCCTTTTTTCACAACAGGGCTGCTTTGCTTATTAAAGCATCTACAAACCAAACCACACCAATCACAAAGAAGACTCGTTCCTGCCCTTCTAGTACCCTCCCATTTTAATTTTCAAAATGTGTGTCCCAGTTTACCTACATGCATG